GGTAATGATAATGTACCTAATGAATGGTACGTTGTGCGAGCGATTTCACGTGGAGATTTTGAAACGAGTGGTGAGAAGGAGGAGGGAGACGGATATAAACGAAAGGCGAAAGTGAGAAGGAGGTTATTAATTATGTCTAATATGAAGGCCGTGAGAAAGACGACGGCGCGGCCGCGCTATCTACTATGAATTTATCATCGACCGGGGATATATTTGTAGCTTTTCGCTATTATTTGTTTCTCGTTTTTGGGTATGTTTGGGTTGGAATGCAGCGATGCTCACTTGACCATGATCGTTTTGCGATGTTGGTGAGGTTGGTCAGATCAGGTTAGGTACTGGGTTCTAAGTTCGGGTGACGTCGAGGGTTGGAAAGCAACCTTGGAAGCTGGGTGGTCAGGTAAGGCGCTGAGGCGTCAGCCTTCAGGGGCTTTACTTTTAAATGACTTGCATGGCCCGAGCGCTGTACTACGTTATCTGGTTGTCTGCCATGGCCCATGGTTGTACCTCGGTCGCCTGTTTCCTGTTTTTAGCGTGATAAGATAAGGTTGAGATGCATCTTTTCCCCGCTAATGTAACAACAGCCCACCGAAGAACGCTTTCCTCCTTGAGTTGAATACTATGGTAATAGACCACTTAGATTACCTAACTTTAAAGATGATGAATTATTTATAGTGCAGTCGGGTTTGAATTGGAGCGAACTTTGCGCGGGGAAGAAGACTTATTTCACATACAGGTATTACCAGACATAAAATTCAATTATGCTGACGTTATACGGTTGTGCTTAATAAGTCTTCATAACAATCCAGCCAGGATAGCAGCTAAACACAAGGAGAACTAGCACTCTTGAATATCTGCATAATACTAGGTAGGCTTAGAGAAATGAGACCTATTTTGTATTCTTGTATTACCAATGACGTCTACTTATCGTAACTCACCAGCCAGCATGGCTTCACAAGCATAAATAAATGCATGTGTTCCCGGCGAGATGCATTACCGCATATCCAACAGTTGGGACCGAGGTTTCTCAACCGTATAAGCAACGAATAGCAAACATATATCTATCTTTTGTATACATACATTTAGGTAGGTATACATATCTACCTTCTATATTACCTATACCTAGGTATATATGTACCTAATATATATATTCGGTGTCTCACTTTAGCCAACTTTGACATGTCCAAGGGTACCTACCTGTCATTCGACTTTTCGAATGTAGAAACTACCTAACCTAAACTCTCAGAATTAGTTATACGTACCTAGACCTGCTTGAGGCTTAGGCCCCAAAGTCTAGAACCTCATGGCGGGCACAACAACCACCTCCTCTCCGGCCCAAATCCGGAAATACTTCGACGGAGACACCAAAAGCCGCCCCTCACCACCACCGTCAAACTCAGAAGGAGGAGGGACCAGAAAGCCGTCTCTCAAAAACACCCCGTCTACCCTGCAGCAGCACATAGCCTTCTTCGACCCGGACAACGACGGCGTCATCTGGCCGAGGGACGTGTACAGCGGGTTCCGGGCGCTGGGCTTCAACGTGCTGTTCTCGCTGGGGTCGCTGCTCATCCCGGTGTTCTTCTCGTACCCGACGCGCCTGGGCCGGTCGTGGCTCCCGGACCCGCTGCTGCGCATCTACGTCGACGACATCCACATGGCGCGGCACGGGTCCGACACGGGCGTGTACGACGCCGACGGCCACTTCAGCCCGGACCGCTTCGACCGCGTGTTCGCGCGCTTCGACGCCGACGGCGCCGGCGGCCTAGGCGTTCGCGACTTACGGGCTCTGCTGAGCAAGGATCGGTGCGCCGCGGACCCCGCCGGTTGGAGCTTTGCGTTCATGGAGTTCTGGACGACTTGGCTGCTGCTGCAGAAGGACGGGAGGGTCTGGAAGGACGATCTGAGGGCGTGCTATGAGGGCACGCTGTTCTGGAAGATTAGCGAGGAGAGGACTAAGGGCGACGGCTGGCGCAAGGGTTATGGAATTAATGATTTCGTGCTGAGCTTGTGGCGGCATGGGACTTGGAAATATTGGGAGGCGCAGACGAAATAAGCTGGGTTAGTTGAACTGGTTATTAAAGATTAAAAGGTTGATTGTAGGTTGCGTTGGAAGTGTATGATAAATGCGAGCAATACCTACATACCTCCTACATAGATAGCTATGATCAGGTATGTTTATGAGATCAGGTATATGTGGTTTTCAAATCATATCTCACAACCAATATGGCATACCCTCGAATCACTTGAGATACAGAATGCTGTATTCCCAACCCAAAATTAAAATTATAATGCACCTATCTAGTTCATCATCTATCCGCTGCTGCTCCTCGAAGTAATCTACCTATCAACCTTTCCAGTATCAACGATAATTCAAACTTACCTACCTACATATCACCACTAATCATCAAACTCCCAATTCTCATCGAGTAACATCGCATCGTAAGGAATTGCCATCTCCTCCTCGAAATGCGCCATGTCGTACGTGGTAACGCCCGAATCCTCGAACACGTCAATGTCGCCATCCATGTGATCATCCAAGCGCCAGGGCCCCTTCTCCATCTCCTGTTCTTCTATGCTATCCACCGCCCTGTACATCTCCAAGGTCGCGGCCACGGCCTCCGCCGCCGCGCTCGCGTCTTCTGCGGCGTGTCCGACTCGCTCGTGTTCGACGGTGGTTACCTCTTGGCCCTCGGGTGAGAATTCTCTCCACAACCTGTATCTCCCAAAGGCCAATACGCACAGGTTGGAGGTTAAGGTGTCTCGGTTCGGGAAACGGTAATTTCCGTCCTTTAACTTCTCGTCCGGGTTGAGAGTCATTAGTCTGACCACTATGTTCTTCAACGCGGCGGAGTAATCCGCGTTTTGGAGATTATACCTCACTCCGTGCTGAGCTACGTTTTGGATATGTTCCTCCACGTTGGTCTTCGTTCCCGAGGGGGGTATCATCATCGCCTGGAGGATCTCGCCCAAAGCCCTCCACCCACTGAGGACAGTGTAAGGCTGGTCCGACTGACGGTGCAGTTAGTAGATATTTCCGATAGAGAAATAGGAACCTTGGAGACTTACCTGCTCCTTATAAGTATAGCCGTACTTCGCATCCTGCTGGATGAGCTCGTCCAAGTGCTGGTGCGGGCCTTCGGGCCGCGGAACCAAGGCCTTAGCCCTAACCCGTTCGACATTAGACTTCCCGTCTCCGTTATGGTGACTCGATAGGTATAAACTGCTATAGTTTCCTAGCTTACACTGCCCGTAAGTCTCGTTGCGCCTGGGCTGTTGGAAGTGTATATTGGCGGGGGTGATGTTCCGGTGTAAGGCGGGATTCCAATCCGGGGTGGGATCCATCCCGAATCTTCCGGGGCCAGTGGCAACGAGCTCTGGGCTGCCGTCATGCAACCAGGCCAGCGCTTTTAGCACCGAGATGAGCACATGCCAGCACAAGGATTCTGGTAAGAATTTCGTCGGCGGATCTACCTTACGGACATCGGACATCTCAGTATCGGAGCTTGGTTTTTCATCGGTACCAGAATTCAACTTGCTCTTGTTGGAACTAGATGTTGATTTCCCATCGGTACCGGAGGTCGATGGTCTCTTGTCGGCCTCTTGGTCTGGCGTGTACTTTTCATATTCCTCAACCAGCAGATTTTCCAGAGTGCCGGCGTCGCAATTATCCCAGACGATGAAAGTTCGTTTTTCGTACTCCCTCGATTTGGGATTCAGCTTCGCAACGGAGAACCAATCCCGTAGGCATATCAGGTTATCGTGATTCAAGATAGCCGCGATCTTTTCGAACAAATTTACTGTATTTGTAGATAATAGGCCACTTAGGGCTTCGCTGGTCGAATCCGAGTCCGAGTCCCCGGTAAACACTTCGGTGATATCATGAGCCAGGAGGATAGTCCTGTCAAGTTTCGTGCAGACCGTCCAAATACCAGGCGCCACCTCAGTGTGGAAGTCGTAGTCTAAAGCCTTTTGATAGTCGTCATATGGGCTTGTGAACTCCATGATGATGAACGGATATTAGGAATTGTTTTTCGGACCTAAAGAAAGACTCTACTTAGTGCAAAAAAGAAAAAGAAGGTAATCATGGGTTGGACTACGAAGGCCTTAATTTGGACCTCAATTTGGATATGGAGGCATGTTGAAGTTGATCTCTTTTGGAATGCTGGTACCTTCCAATGCCTTTGTTCGTGGCATCCGTATAGGGAAAAGGCTACATTCCAACGACAGATTCGTCCAGAACCCTTCAGTTCTCCCACAAATGGTTGATTCCATTACCATCCATTCTTCATTCCGTAGGTCTGGTTTCGCATGGGACACCCCCAAATTATCCAATGAATTAACCAACGCACGCGTGTAGGATATTTTCAACTCATACCTCATAAGTACCTAGTTGAGTTATAGCCATGGCCACGACTGCAGTGATACGGCAATTGTGTAGGTGATTCCTGGTTATTCGGGAATGGTTAATAGTCGCCATAGCGATGAAGCCTCTTATTACTTTGTGAAGTTCCTAAAATATGGTGGCCCTCGGTGGTCTCTTTTTACATAGGTGCTGATTGTTATGGCCCTATTATCAATGATTGACCTGGTCGTCACTCACTAGAAATAGTGACAGGATGTACCGAATGATTTTATATAAATAACCTGTCTATTATTCAATCCTTCCTCGGATATAATGCGCTTACCTAGGTACCCTACCTTACAATAACGCATGTTCGTTGGAATCTGACATGTACGTAGCCAGATTTCCGATGTATGAAGGATGTGACGAATGAGGCGATGCAAATAAGCACCACGCACCCGATAGACACGAACGCCAAGAAGGGTCCTGCCGCTCTATTTGAAGATCTGATCTAAGGATTTTTGATATTGTAATATAGTCGAGGCGGGTAGTCTACTGTAAAATCCACCGCGGAACCTTAGCGCGTGAATATTGGGGCTCTTTAGTAGAACTCAAAAGAGGGTTGTGTCGTTGGCCGTGGGAGTCGAACTCGGTGGGTAAGACTGGACAACCGCGTAAGACAAAACGTAAGCCAATTCACGTATTTCGCTTATTCATAGGTTATGGATAGGTAGCATTGGATTTTATTAGCCGCCTGCAGAAAAGGTAAAATAAATGCATGTTTTAACGTTTCATGTTTTCCCATAAATTGGGCAGTTATTAATTGGCGGTTGGTTGGTTAGATTTTATCGGGGTTCTGATTTCGTCAATTGGCGCAGAACATGCAGGACATAATCTGTTAAAGCACCTATTGAAGCACCTATTATAGCTGCTGTACGGCTCATCTCTTACTGAAGAATTACGCTGCACTACACTAGCACACTAGCTGCGTTGTGGATACGTGGGTAAATCGCTAAAAAGTGTCAATCGCCGTCCCATCGCTCCAGTCAGACCAGCAGATAAGCACTTTCAAAACTGACGAAAGGAAGCTAAGGGGGCCTTAAGGAGCGGCAGGGGTATAGCGCTAATCTGAATTTAGCGTCGGTACCTTGCATGACTGGGGTAATAGGTCCAATTAGAGACCGATTTGATTATCCTTGTATTGTACGTACATAGTACCACTGGTAGGTAGTGCTGGTACCTAGGTAGGCACGCTGTACTTAGAACCTGTTGTGTTCAACTTCAAACCGCCAAAACGGTTGACCCGCGATTTCAACTCTACCCCCCCCCCTCACTTCCCACCTCCCACCCAAACCAGGGCCTCCTCCCTTTTTCGTAACCCTTCGTTCAGCTGGTCGCGAAGGTCAATTAATCACGCGCTCTCTCTTTCTCTCTCTCTCTCCACCTTCTCTTTCAAAAAAGCATACCTAACAACAAAAAAAAACAAAAAAAACTTCTAACAACAATACCTAACTTTTTAAACGCCATTCGTTCAATTGGCTGTTCTGCGTCGTGATACTCGTTATCCACCACTTCCCACTCTCTCTTTTCATCACCAACAAGATACCCACTTCGTCCAAGTTTCACGTCTTTCAGTCTCCATCCGAGCCCTACCCTCATTGTGCTCTGTGCTCTGGGAGTCGATCAAACAAAGCCTAGCAACAAGCAACACCAGCCAACTTCGGTCCCGTGCTCTCTCTCTCTGACTTCGGTGGTTTGCCATTCAACTTTGGCATTTCGGTATTAGAGATTTAACCAAACCGAGACATCACTTGGTCAAACGAAGAGCAAAACCAGCAATACCGCTGAGTCGGAAAAGCTTGCTTGCTGGGGCAATCGAAATACCCACGGTCCAAGTATAAAAAAAATAAAAGAAATAAAAAATCGATTGCAATGAGACGGCGATAGCGGCCTCCCGCGTTTACGGATACCCACTAGGCATGTCTAGCACATCCTTCATGCCAATGCGCTGAGACCTATCATTACCCGCGGGTACCTTTCCTTTCCGACGCCCCCTTGTTTAGGACGACGTTCGTCTCTCTCTTTACGAACCAACCCTTTTCGGGATTTTCAATTCTCTTCTCCAAGTCTTTTCTTGACGCTCTACGAGCTCGAGTTCTTCTTTTGATTCGAGAGCACGGTCGATTACTCCGCGGGCGAGGAGCGACGACTGTGTTATACCGGCGGGTCCGATTGAACAATTGACAATTGATTGACCACCGAGCAGTATTGGCGTCGAGTGTGTCACGACTTCAATTACTTTCGTTTTCACTTAGTTAGATTCTTTTCTTAGTTGCCAATTCCTCAATTGGCGACATTTTGATACCCCTTCATCTTCGTTGTGTTAGTTTCCCACGCTCGAGTGGGCAGGTTTTTGTGGTTGCGACTTTCGCATCGCATTTAGCAAAGCATCATGAGTTGTTTTCACAGTCGGAAAGAGGCGGAAATCCGTCCTGAACAGAAATGGGATGCAATTGTAAGTGATAATTATTTACGATCATTGACGGAAATGCTAAGCTAACAACTTTTGCCCAGAGTCTAAAAGACTTCAAGTCATCATCATGTTTCACTCCCTTGGCTTATGGCTACCTTTACTTTTCTCTCATACTATCCGTTGCCGTATATAGCGTTGATACCTTTACGGCTATCAACTTGCTGGCTTTCAACACCTGGTCATCTAGTATCGAACCTACTCAGCTCATCTCATTCGACGTATCGAAATGGATTTTCTCGATCTGTATTATCGCGTCTTTCGTCAATCTAGCGTTCGAACATATTCGCGCTATGAGGGTTATGAAGCGAGGAAGTGTTGCCGAATGTTATCTCGATAACCTAGCCGTGCGCTTGGAAAGTGTCCGACTTGGAAAGGGTCAAGGATGGAGGCGTTTTCTTGTCTTCGCCGAGCTAACTAAATCCAAGAAGGGTGCGGAATATGTTGCGCTCTTTACGTACTTCAACTTTCAATGTAAGTGATGGTCTCTGCGAGCGTAGCAGAAGAGGTGACTTGCTGACCCAGTCTTAGCATGGATTCGAGTCATATTCTGCTCTGGACCCCGACAAGCCGTCAATGCTCTGACCTTGTACTCCGTCTACAAGTCGAATCTCATTCCGACCGACGTTTCCTCGGTGCAGAGCACACTTGGTACTTTCTTTGGCAAGCTGCAGCATCTCGCCGAGGAAAACCAGCAGCAGGTGGTGATTCTATCGGGCATGGTGTTCACACTCGTTATCTGGGTTTTCGCCGTCATCTTTCTACTCATCGCGGTTTTATTTTACGTATTTTTCCTCTGGCATTATATCCCCCGGCAGGACGGCGGACTCCACGGCTACTGCGAGCGAAAGGTTAACAAGCGATTGACCAAGATTGTTACGGTTAAGGTCAATAAGGCTATCGCCAAGGAAGAGCGGGACCGAATGAGGGCCGAGTTCAAGGCGGCGAAGAAGGCCGGCGAGAAGCCACCTCTGGGACGACAAGCGACTTTGCCGACCTTCTTAGACGAAGGCAACGAAGATAAACTCCCGGGGATGCCTATGCTGAACCGTAACGATACCATGGCTACTTTACCGGCATATACCCCGCGACCTGGTTCGCAACACAGCATTGAACTTGATTCTTGGGACCAGAAGCGACCGGTACCATCACGGCAGGGAACAATGGTTACCAATGCCTCTTCGTCTAGCTTTTCTTCGCGCGCTCCCTTGGTGGGCGGCGCAGCCGGAATGGGCTTCGACCGAGTAGCATCTCCTGAGCCAACTCTACCTCAAATCGACCTAACGAACTTGCAGCCGCCTGCGCGTCCAAGTACGGCAGCTTCAAACAGGAGCTTCGGTCCCGGTCCCCAGCTCGTCCGGGTGCAAACCAGCGGAAGCGGATTTGGTGCCGGTTACGCCGCAAGCCCAACTGCGTATTCGCCAGATACCTCTTCTCAAATGGACGGTTATCGCCGACCCGCGCCCATGCCTCGTCCGTTTAACCAAATGGATGGACGCTCTAGCCCGGCTCCATCTATTTATTCAAACCGCGGGCCTCCTTCCAACGGGCCGTCATCCTACGGTGGCCAGCCTTACCCACCCCCTCGCAGTATCACAAACCCCATTTCTTCTGGACCAAGAATGCCACCACAGCGAAATATGACAGCACCAATGCCGCCCCGGCAGCAGGATGCATACTACGGGCAGCGCCCTGGAATGGCTCCGAGCCACCAGAGGGATACGAGTCAGGGATATAATTACGGCAGTGACCTGGAATCACAGCGTGACTTTCCACGATACTAGTAGTATTCACTGTTAAACGATGGTTACGCAGAAGGAGTGGAATAGATGCGGATACCCTAATATTATATACCACTTACGTACATAACGTTGATGGTATATCCTTGATTATGATTTGGGCTGGTGTGAATAGACAAGAATGCCGTAGGCCGTCAGGTTTAGGAAGCGTCCGGAGAAAGTGGCGTTCAGAGGCAAATTCCGATGATTTTTTATTATAAAAAAACTAATGAGACTCGATGTACTATACATAGACGTATTTACTGAGGGGCATTCTGTCAAGTATGTAGTCACGACTACTACTAGTTTGACCTATACTACGGATATTATTCGGTCCTTGAGCGCGCGTGTATTAATTGCTTCTTTTGCTGGTGGTAGGTTCAATGTCTCTTAAGAGGTAGATACCTACCTAAGTTAGGCTAACCTAGTTCTCTTGCGCGCCCTTCCGATTACTTAGGTGCCTTAGGTTAGGTAATAATCCAAGGCATGCCGTTATACCTAATAGCGTCCCCTCCAATTAGGGGGGGGGTTTCTCCAACGGGTTTATACGCTCTCTGTGATGGATGGATGGCGTCAGGCAATCCCTGTTTCTGGGGATTACGCAAGATAGGTATTGCATATACCACCTTGTAACTAGTGCGAATATTATCTTGACCTTGATTGCCGTTGGCTGGGTATTAGTCAGGCTCGGGTATGAGAATCAGTAATTCGCCCCGAGATCATTACGAATGCAGTTATTTATTTTCTCACGTAGGATCGTCCTCCGCGCCTGGGCTGGCTAGTTGACAGGGGAGATATATTTTTATTAACCTGGCTTGACCTACTTGAATCCCTGATACTTGTTTGTTCTTGCTGATATAGATACTAATCTAACAACTCACCACATATACTTATACACGTCCACCTATACAATTTCACAAGCCATCTAACATCGTCAAGTCAAATTCAAAACTCACCGTTCCGCCGAGATGGCGCAGCTCATAACATTAGACTCGGGCTTCCACCCGGGGGAACTCGCGGTCCACTCGCTGCTGCGGGTGTCGCACCGGCACAACCCGACACACCACGACCTGCCGCCGCAGCTCGGGTACCGGGTGGCGATATCGCCGCTACTGGCGGTCGGGACGCTAGATCGGAAAGGCAGGCCGTGGGCTAGCGTGTGGGGAGGCGAGAAGGGGTTCGCGAGGCCGGTGGCGGACGGCGGGGTGTTGGGGGTTAGGGCGACGGTGGGGGAGAGGTGGGATCCGGTTGCGAGGGAGTTGGTTGCTGTTGAAGTTGAGAGGAAGGAAGGGGGTGGAAGAGAGAGTGGGGATGGGAGGGAAATCATCGATGACGAGGTTATCATGCCGGAAGGAGGCAAGTTGATGGCGGGTCTATCCATAGACCCGGAGACGAGGGATCGCGTGAAACTCGCTGGCGTCATGGCCGTCGGTACTGCGACGAATACGACGCCCGGCGTGGCGGATTTGCAGCTTGCGTTTCGCGTCGGCGAGGCGCTGGGGAACTGCCCGAAATACATTAACAAGAAGCGCATCTACCCCCGCGTGCCGGCGCCTCGGCTTGCGAGCGAGGGGACTGGCGTTCCGCTACCCCAGGCGGCGATCGAGTTGCTGGATAAGGCGGACTCGTTCTTCATCGCAAGCAAGCACGGCTCCAAGAGCATGGACGTGAATATCCGCGGCGGACCGCCGGGATTCGTCCGCGTGCTCAGGAATACGGACGAGGGCGCGGGGGGCGCGGCGCTGGTCTACCCTGAGTACTCGGGGAACCGCCTGTACCAGACGCTAGGGAACATGCACAACGATCCGGCTGTTGGTATGGTGGTCCCGGACTTCGAGACGGGCGATGTGCTGTATCTAACGGGGAATGCGGCGATCCTAGTTGGCGAAGTAGCGGCTGCGGTGATGCCGCATGCGAAACTAGCTATACGCGTTGAGATCGTGGAGGCGCGGTTCGTGCACGAGGGCTTGTCGTTTAGAGGCGAGGCGATCGATTACTCGCCGTATACCCCTGCTGTCCGACGGCTGGCGTGTGAGAAGCGGCCTGATGACCCCGCGGTAGACTCGAGCCGCGATGCTATCGCTACGGCGAAACTAGTAACCCGGGAGAAGCTTACATCGACGATCTCAAGATACGTGTTTAAGCTTACCCCCTCGGACAGTACTGGGAAGCGGTTGAAAGCATGGCAGCCCGGGCAACATGTCACGTTGGACTTCAGCGAGGAGTTAGATTTGGGGTACTCGCACATGCGGGACGATGACCCGCAGAGCCTGAACGACGATTTCGTGCGCACGTTTACGGTGAGCAGGCCTATAGACACGGAGGCCGTGGATGAGCAAGGGTATATAAAGAGTGATGCAGAGCCGGAGCTCGAGATCACGGTTAGGAGACACGGCCCGGCGACGGCGCTGCTGGAACGCTGGAATGTAAGGGCTCCGCTTCAGATACCGGTGCTGGGGTTTGGTGGTGCGGAAGGGTTTAGGTTGCCAATTAAGGGGAGCGAGATAGGAACTCGCAACACGAGTGTCTTCGTTGCCGCGGGCGTGGGTATCACGCCGTTGATGGCGCAGGGCGCGGCTGTTTTACAGAATACGAGAGAAAGGAATGAACTCAAGGTATTATGGAGTTTAAAGGGGACAGATATACCGCTTGCGGTAGATGTTCTAAAGAGGATACCGGGACTCGGAAATGCGACGAAGCTCTTCGTCACCGGGAAGAAAATAGGAGAGGAAGAACGGGCTCTGATATCTACTATCTACGGGCTAGGAGCAGAAGTGCTGGAAAGAAGGATAGGGGCTAGCGACGTGTTGGCAGAGGGAGATAAAAGAAATAGAAAATACTATTTATGTGCGGGACCGGAAATGACGAGGGAGCTGCTGAAGTGGACTGAAGGCGAGGAGGTGGCTTACGAGAGCTTTGAGTATTAAGGAAGACTTTGTTGGATGATATGAATATTGAAGAGCTGGCGATATACACATAGTTGAAAAGAAAAAGATATGAGAAATATAGGATGTAACTAACTGTATAATACCAGTTTATAGTAGGTATAAGTCGTAAGTGCTGCAAAACGTCGAGGACTTATACGGTAATTCTGCTTTCTGATTGGCCAGTTCCCCTGAAACCACCAGAAAGGTAAGCGTCTTAGCTCGAGCCACTTATGCATGTAGGTATATCTTTGCATAACACGGTATTTGACTAGTACCACTATGTACCATATCCAGAATATCAAAGCCACGCCAAGACATCGGATGCAGAACCCCCTTGGGGTAGCACGGGACTGGCATTTATGACGCAGGCGACGTACTGAGAGACGCCTAAGCCAACTCATGCGATACGCATACCTCCTACCCTGTTGGGAACTTGCAAGCTTCCACCTTCTCCCTCATCATCATCATCATCATCAAATCAACCTTTCCCTTATCAATCCCTTTTTATATTAATTTTCTTTTATCAACTTTTTCAACGTTCTCCAAGGCACTTCATGCCCATGGTATCGCTACTATTTCGCGTATAATAGTAGAGCATCGCCATGGCTCGAATATCCACATTCGTTGCCGGCGTTTTCCTGCTAGTCAGCACCGCCGCTGCAGACCAGCTCTATACACCGAAACATGAACCTGGGCGCTGCGCGATACGAGGTCATTGTGGAAAGAAGAGCTTCTTCGGAAAGCAGGTACCCTGTGTCGATAATGGATTAGCTACCGCCCCCGATGCCGAGTTCGCTAAAGAAATCGAATCTCTATGCGGTCCCAAATGGAAGGACAGCAAGGTCTGCTGCAGTCCTGACCAGGTGCGTTTGTGTTCTTATTTCATTATCGCTACCCTTATACCGCAATGATATACCTATATAAATTGCTAGATGCAAAGGGATGAAAGCGCTGCTTGCTAACAAGATCTATAGCTCCATGCGCTCAAGTCCGAAATGTCCACTCCAAACCAGATTATCGGCTCCTGTCCCGCGTGCAAGGACAATTTCTATAACTTGTTCTGCACATTTACTTGTTCTCCCGATCAGTCCCTATTCGTCAACGTAACCAAGACGCTGGAGAAGAATGGGAAAACTTTGGCCGCCGAGGTAGACCAGTTGGTGTCTCAAGAGTACGGTGAAGGTTTCTATAACAGCTGTAAGGAAGTCAAGTTTGGTGCTTCGAATTCCAAGGCTATAGACTTCATCGGGGGTGGCGCAAAGAACTACACCCAGCTGCTAAAGTTCCTGGGCGACGAAAAGCCCATCGGGTCGCCGTTCCAGATCAACTTCCCAACGGAATATTCAGAACCGAACATGGCCCCGAGGGAAATGAAGCCGAAGAAGTGTAACGATGAAGATCCGAACTTTCGGTGTTCGTGTGTCGACTGCCCCGCGGTGTGTCCGGAGCTTCCGGATGTAGAACAATCGGGATCCTGTCGGGTTGGCGTCCTGCCTTGCCTATCGTTTGCCTCGATATTCACTTACGGTGTACTACTCTTCACGCTCATCCTCGCCCTTGTCGGCCACGTTGCTTGGATGAAGCATGCGCAACGGAGAAGCGAGCGTCTCCATTTGCTTCAAGCCGCTGAGCCTAGCGATGATGAAGATGAGGGTGACCTTGTTAGAAACACGGCTATGTTAGATCAACCTCAAAGAAACTACCCTATCAATGCTTGGTGTGATACCGCTTTTAGCAAGCTCGGCCATATATGCGCAAGGTTTCCGGCAATGACAATATTTACCAGCTTACTGGTGGTCATCGTTCTCAGTCTTGGCTGGATCAAATTCGCCGTAGAAAGGGAACCCGCAAGATTATGGGTTAGCCCAGACTCGCCAGCAGCACAGGAGAAGGCCTTCTTCGATGAGAACTTTGGGGCATTCTACCGTGCGCAGAAGGTCTTTGTAGTGAACGATGTTCAAGAATCCGGCCCGGGTCCAGTACTTAGCTACGAGACATTGACGTGGTGGTCTGAAGTTGAAGCTAGTGTGAAGCAACTGAAGGGCAAAGATTTTGGTACCACATTTCAAGACGTTTGCTTAAAACCAACTGGTTCTGCTTGCGTCGTGCAGTCCCCGACTATTTATTTCGACGGCACAAGGAATTGGAAACCCCAATTCAAAGAATGCGCCGAGTCTCCCGTTAACTGCCGCCCCGATTTTGGACAACCAGTCGAGCCAAATATGATCGTGGGTGGTTATGACAGCATCGATAATATCACTGAAGCGCGCGCCTTCACAGTAACTTGGGTTGTGAATAATCATCCTGAGGGTAGTCCAGAACTTGCTCATGCTATGGATTGGGAACAGTCCTTGAAGAATCGACTCCTAGAAGCTCAAAAAGAAGCTACGAATCGCGGTCTACGTCTTTCTTTCTCTACGGAGGTTAGCTTGGAGGAAGAGTTAAACAAATCCACCAACTCGGATGCGGCTATCATCGTTATCAGTTATATTGTCATGTTTTTATACGCTTCAATTGCCTTGGGTTCGACCAGTATGACCATCCGGGAGCTGTTGAGGAACCCAGCTGTGGCCTTAGTCCAGAGCAAGTTTACGCTCGGTCTTGTTGGTATCTTGATTGTCTTAATGTCTATCACCTCTTCTATTGGGTTGTTCTCATGGGCAGGTGTCAAGGCCACACTCATCATCGCCGAAGTCATCCCTTTCATCGTCCTAGCTGTTGGAGTGGACAATATCTTCTTAATTGTTCACGAATTTGAGCGTGTCAACCTGAGCCACCCTGACGCGATGGTTGAAGAAAGGGTAGCTAGGGCACTTGGACGAATGGGTCCTTCTATACTCTTTTCAGCAATTACAGAAACTGTATCGTTCGCTCTCGGCGCGTTTGTTGGGATGCCCGCGGTCCGAAACTTTGCCATATACGCTGCGGGTGCGGTTTTCATCAATGCTTTGCTCCAGATGACGCTCTTTATATCTCTCCTGTCTTATAACCAGATGAGGACCGAGGATCACAGAGCGGATTGCTTCCCGTGCTACCAGGTCAAGGCAGCTCGCGTTCACCTCAGCGGCAGCAACGGGTCCGGTGGCCCTCGCCCATATGATATCCCAGACGAGAGCTGGTTACAGCAATTCATTCGAAAACATTACGCGCCTACTCTGCTTGGTAAGAAGGTCAAAGCTTTCGTTATCGCTATTTTCCTCGGTCTGCTCGCCGCTGGTGTTGCTTTGATCCCATATGTTCAACTTGGCTTGGATCAGCGAGTTGCCCTACCTGATGATTCGTACCTCATTGACTACTTCAATGACATGTACAATTACTTGGACAGTGGCCCGCCCGTTTACTTCGTTGCCAAGGGCCTCAACGTGACTCAGCGCGACGGGCAGAGACAACTTTGCTCGCGCTTCACAACGTGCGAACAGCTATCACTCACAAATATACTCGAACAAGAGCGGAAGCGACCAGACGTTTCGTATATTTCCTCCCCAACCGCTAGTTGGCTCGACGACTTCTTCCTCTGGTTGAACCCCGATTTTGAGAGCTGTTGCAAGGATGGCCGCCAATCCTGCCTTGCCAATCGTGATCCGGCTTGGAATATCACCCTTCATGGTATGCCCGAAGGCGAGGAGTTTGTCCATTATCTACAGAAATGGCTGCACTCCCCAACCACCGACACGTGCCCTCTAGCCGGACAGGCGCCTTATAGCCAGGCTCTCGTCGTCGACGAAGAAAAGGTTGCCATTCCTGCGAGTCATTTCCGAACGATGCACAAGCCTCTCCGCAGCCAAGACGACTTTATCAATGCCTACGCGTCGGCTCGTCGTATCGCAAATGAAGTAAGCGCAAGCACGGGAGTCGAAATATTCCCTTACAGCGTCTTCTACGTCTTCTTTGACCAATACGCCAGCATCATCAGCCTTACCGGGACACTTCTTGGCTCCGCGATAGCCATGATATTTGTCGTCTCCTCTATTCTCTTAGGCTCCATTAGGACGGCACTTGTCGTCACACTGACCGTCGTCATGACTGTTGTGGATATCATCGGCGCCATGGCGGTCTTCAACGTCTCGCTCAACGCCGTTTCGCTCGTAAACTTGATCATCTGCGTCGGTATCGCCGTCGAATTCTGCGCTCACATCGCCCGCGCCTTCATGTTCCCGTCGGGCTCCGTCATGGAACGCGCTAAGAACCGTTTCCGCGGCCGCGACGCCCGCACCTGGACGGCCCTCGTCAACGTCGGCGGGTCGGTCTTCAGCGGTATCACCGTCACGAAGCTGCTGGGCGTGTGCGTCCTCGCCTTCACGCGCTCCAAGATCTTCGAGATCTACTACTTCCGCGTGTGGCTCGCCCTCGTCGTCTTCGCCGCCACCCACGCCCTCATCTTCCTGCCCGTCGCCCTCTCGCTCGTCGGCGGCGAAGGGTACGTCGACCCGGAGAGTGAGGGCGGACTGCCCGAGGACCTCGCCAATAGGCGGTACAGGGCCCTTATTCCCGACGACGACGACGATGACGAGACCGATTCGGAAGACGATGACTGAGTAAAACTGTCCAGTTTTGAAGTTCAAAGCAAAGCAAAGCAAAGCAAAGCAAAGCAAAGCAAAGCAAAGCAAAGCAAAGCAAAGCAAAGCAAAGCAAAGCAAAGCCAAGTAAAGTAAATTGGAAACGAAGAAAAAGAGCTACCAGCTACCAGCTATCAACTACTGGTGTAGTGTAGTGAAGAGTAGTAGAATGCGGGCGGGATTATTAAGAGGTACCTGATTAATAGAGCTAACTAAGTGCTAATAAGTGCATCATCATCATCTTCTCGGGGTAACAGGATCTAGGAAATTGGGTTTGAATTTCGGGTTAGCGTTCTGTGTAATCTAAAGATGTTAGGCTAATATGTAGAACAACATGGAAATTTAGGTTTCAAAATTCAGTTCTCTTTTCTTCTTTTTATAACACGGGATACGTTAGGTTAGGTACTTGGACGTAACAAAGGGGGGGGCACGAAAGAAAAGGTGTATCTATATGTTATAGTTATTGCTATACGCGTTGTGCCCTTCGGCTAATTCTTATACAGGAGCGGTTGTTCCTTTATCAAGTGAAATACTGGCTCTGCTTTTGATATTCTAGTCGTCTCACGCGCTACTACTAATGATGACTATAGTGTCGGTATCAAAAGGTCTATTCTTCTCTGCCAAAATCATATTTTACCTAACCGTCGATATATGTATTCCAGAAGCCCACCAAAAATTAAATCAACTTTCCCTCCCTCAAAAACTTCCATATTGAACCCATAGAACAAACAATGCTACTCCAAACTCTAAATGCCAAACTCCGGATTCCAGAATAACAAGACAGTAAGCGTTGGTGCGAGTCTGCGTTTATAACCAGTTCCCCTTCTACCTCCTAAGTGCATCAATTATTGACCAGTTGTGTTTGGGGGGTTTTGTGGGTATGTCGGTATCCCTGTCGGCTACCTCTGCTCGGTGCTGTTTCCGCCCATTGCAGTTGGCGACGCCGCCGAGTGCTGACATAATTCCCCTCTCGCTACCGGGTGGTGGTGATAAGGTGGTCAGTCGGTTCCAGTTGGCACCGGCGAGTCTCACGAGGTATACCAGTCCAACCTTACAATATGATCATCTCTTTTTCTGTTAAGTAATTCATACCGGTGCTTGCACTCGTCTACGTCGCGTATGCTATACGGGCTCACGCTGAAACTGCCCCTCCATGCTCCCCAAACCGCGCCCTGAGCAGGCGATTCAGCAACATATTGATTGCTATTGTTGTCGTTACAGGTGCCGGAATCCTCTGTGAGCGAGAAGGTTCCTGTTGATATGCCATGTTAGAATGGGGTGAGAGAGAGAGGAGATAAGGTAGGATTGGATGGGATATTTGGGGGGTGGTGGAATGGGGGAGAGAAAGAAGTCTTGCCTCCACAGGAGTCTATGGACTCATCTCCAACCGGTAATTTCCTCCCCGCGCACCTTCCTATCCCTATTTCCTTACTTCTAGTCCTTATTCGTAGCCCTCTATTCCCCAGATTCAACCACTATCTCACGCTGTCGTTCTAATCCCGCTACCTAGGCTCTCTTCCACCGGACCTCGGTCTGGTAAGAAAAGAAGCAGAAGTAATGTAGTAAATATTTGGGCAATCAAGGCGACGGTTCGGAACTGCGGGAAGTGGAGGGGAGATAGGTATTGTTGGGGGTTGGGTAGGAGATCGAGAGTGGCGGCGAGGTGCAGATGGGGAGCGAACGAGAGGAATCTCAATGAAGAGTTACCGAGATCTCCTCGGAAGGTTCCTGGCTGTTGCGACGTTCGTCGACCCGCTGTCGAAACGGATCAGAGGGGTGGGAAAATGAGCATCCAACGGAGTACACTTACCGCTTCTCTCTCGCAGGTGTCAGGTACAACCTGGGTCGCGCTGGATTCCCTCCCGCCAGCCATATCGCCATTTGGAGCGCCAGGTCGGTATGCTGGCAACTCCTTCCGTGTCCCCTATCCCGGGGACCGGGACAGGGACCACGGTCCTTGCTCTAATCTTGGCAGTTGCCAGATGCGTCCGGAATCAGGCGGCAGGACCGTTCTGATTCCAGACCCATCTGCTCGGGCGTGAAGCCAGGAGAGTATCCAGGCGGAGGATGTACCAAGGCGAAGATAGACGGAACGGAAAGCGGTCGGAGCGAAAACAACGATGCAGCGGAAGGAGGAACTTCGGATTCCCCCAATCTGTTGCCCACGCCACGTAGCCGCGTAGCATGCCCCGCTGCAGTCGCAACCGCTCTACGTTCCTTTCTTCCATCTCCCTCGTCTGCCAGAGGTCGTTCGAAGGGAGCCTTGAACTTGCAGACGAACTCGTACATCCCCCAGGTCGACCTTGACACCCCGAGGTATTGCCACGTCCAAAGTTGTCATATTTGATACCATCGTCATTATGGTTATAGTTGTTATCGCCGTTCAAGTCAGCTCACCACATAGGGAGCCAACAACAGACATCCCAGGGCTCCGTAAGAAAAGAAAGCAATAGCACGCGTCTACCGCCGGGGAGATAAAGTAAAAGGCCGCGGCTCGTGGCATCGGTGCGGTAGCAGCCACCCGATCCCTAGGTCCCTTTCCACTCCGTCCGAGGGCGGGAGAAGGCAGAAACTATTAGGATCAGTCTGCTGGCTGCCCCCCTCGGCAAGTAGTTCTAGTCGAGAAGGTGAAGGCTATTAACTGTTGTACTAGCAGGGCATTTATGATATGAAAGACAGGTAGAGAATACCGTGGCAGAGCCAGTGTGTTGTATAGTGTTATGTAGTGTTGTGTAATGATGTTTGTTTTTGTTGTGTTGTGCCTTTACAAAAGAAGAGGGGAAAAAAAACTAGGAAGTTTTTTCGAGGGTTGAGGGGAAATAAATAGAGAAAAGGGAGGGGACACTTTGGTAACTTATCACCCTCGTACTTTCTCGTGTTTCCGAGACCATTTGTGGAAACCGTTAATGCCCAATAGCAAGGAAATGGCAAGAGCTGTAGGTTGGAATATAGTGGTAATAGTAGTAATAGTAGTAATAGTAGTAATAGTAGTAATAGTAGTAATAGGGTATTGAAATTAATAATGGTAATAATGGTAATAGGATATTATAGATGGAAGGTAGGTGTTGAAAGTATTGAGAATCTTGGAAGCATCAAGAGACTTGGATGTGTTCTGGGAAAGCACTGGAGGAAGAATGGAAGGGAAGAGAAGAGAAACCGGGAAGGAGGGAGGGGCCAAGGGTATTTATATATTTTTTTTCTTGGAAAGAAGGAAGCATCAAGGCATCCACTATTAGTCGTTGGTCTACGAAAACCTTGGTGTCGTTCTTGGACTGACGATAGCTTCATAGTGGAGAACTTACGACTAATAAGTATGAACTCTAAACACAACTGAAGCGACACCTTTGTGGACCTAAGGTCGAAACTTCTTGGAAGATATGCTACTGAATTATACCTACCTACCTAGATAGATATAGAAACATATCTAAGTTCATAGATAGGTTGGTAGTTCACTAGTATCTTGCCACTCAAAGATACTTACATTGATCGATCTTTGTCCAAGCGCTTCCCAAGTTACAAAGATTAGATATCGCGCATTGCAATTCTCTAAATATAATACGGTGAGAATTTGTCTGTCCTGCGTACGTTTGGGACTTGTAGACTTGGACTTGGACTGCCTATGGCCTTCTTGAACCGTGACTATCATAACGCAAAACACTAGGCAGCAAACATTTAAACCCTCTATAAATAAACATAACTGACTGACCGACCCTCAAATCGTGTTGAGAATACAGATATCTGACGACAAGAAGCGTGATACTGCTCTTGGAAGTGTCACAGCATTGAGAGACCTGAGTGCTTGCGTAGCACCTTACCCAGCCTAGCCCTATAGAGCAACTACGATACTATTAGTTTCTGGATATGATGCCTCACACCTGCAACCCCCGAGCGGGAAGTCAAGCATTCTCTCCATAGGACAAGACGGAGTTTACCACTACCAAGGCTATTTACACAGCTCAGTTGGTAGACATAGTGTGCAAAGGGTTTAAAGGACATCTAGTCTCTTGTCTAGACTCTACTTACTTACCAAATGCTCTGCGACGTGACATAGACGTATAGGTACGGTAGGTAGCCAAGGCTTCACAGCCAGCAAGTACAACGTTTCAGCCCCAAATCATAGACAGGCAACCACCTATCCTCATAGGTAGCATATAACTAGAGTTTCTATAATAAAGTTTCAATTTGGCCAACCTCCCTATTATTCCAATTTTCGACTATTTTGACACTGCCTACCTATCCATAGGAACTAGATACCTAAGGTACCTAGGTATTATATTCTATGTGAACGAACTTGGAAACTGTATCCAGTTAGTTTTAACCCCTTATCTCGTTCCCAACCAAAAGACTCAAAAATGAAAAACGATAAAATATAGGTACCTACCTATGTACCTAGGTACCTAAGTTAGCTCAACGTATAAGTCCGAGCGTACGAAGAAACTGCAGAACTGTTGTCGTGTCCCGGGGGAAGGGGAGAAGTTGGGGGCGAAGAAGAAGCTTACCTAACCTAACCTAACCTTGCATACATCAGGTAGGTACCTAGGTAAGTATTCATCGGCGTTAGGAGATCCCTCTCTCTACATAGTATCTCGGCCGCTGCATCTCCCTGGACACTTCTTACTTGAACATTCTATCACCGAATCCTATGTACCTCTTTGCATAAACTTATCATTGTGCAAATATTTAGTAGGTATTGTACGTAAGGTATGTATGTCAGTTAGTTTCTGAAGCATAAGCAACTGATCGTGGGTAGAGAAGTAATTGCTGACATTTTATGGATATTCATTATCCTATGCAAAGCACTCGTATAGTAAGTAACCCAAGCCATAACTGAGTCTAACCATCCATATATATGTGCATCAGAGCTCCCTATCAAAAGACAAACATAAATCACTAACAACTCTACGAATAATATATCGTATCTCATAACTATGTTAAACACATATGATAGATAGCAAGGTGAGATGAGACAAAAATGAGATGAGACGTAAGGGCCGTCAACTGACCCGATAAATTCGAATTTGCGACACCGTACCGGTTGTACTGTAATGTACGTTCGTTAGGTATGTACACTCTCTATTATTATGAATACCTTGTCTAAAGTAACTGATATCAATACCTCTCTCATTATCTTTAACTCGTTAACGAGACCGCGCAGTTAGTAAAGATTCCACACCCCTCACATCCCGGAATAAGAGAGGAAAGTAAAAAAGGAAAGTAAAAAAACAAGTCTGGCGCGGGATCGCGGGATGTCGATGAGTCAGCGTCTCGAAGGAATACCAGGTAGCTGCCGGGGACACGCATTATTTTCCCGTAGTACATCCAATGTACGCACCAATGCGTGATCATGGGTGAAATCCCCGTCCGTCGGAAATACCAAATTAGGGTTCTCGTGAACAAATGTGGGGGGCATAAGGGAAAAAAAAGGACGTTGCCATTTTCGAACAGAGAGAGGAGCATCGCCCCTCTTCTGCCCCTCATCCGTAATTCCCTTTGGTTGAAAGCTGTCCCTGGTCTTCTGGCTTCCATTTGGAGTACACTACCTGGTACGTATGCGCTCCCCTTCATGCGCGCGCGCCCTCCCCGCAGATCTCAGCAACTTCCGCGGCTCGAGGGGTCGGGGGTCTGGAATCGTGTGCGTGTTGGTGTTGGAGCCAGCTCGCGCGCCCGTCTTTCTGATCGTACAAGATGCTGCGAAAAGGAAAAGCAAGAAATACAAGCTGTCACACATCCTGCGCGATCCCGAACTTGATCTTCATCAAAGTGTGGCCTGACGTAGTTGTAGGTCCGATCCTAAACATTTTTAAAATCCAATCAAAGACGACGCCTATTCCAATGCGTTACTTTATTGTTTCTCTTTCCCCTTAGATGTAAAGCTTGTGCTGGTCGATATACTGAATGACGCTTGCAGGAATTAAATATTGCACGCTCATACTACAACTTATCATTAGTTTAATCTGTTCCGAGATAATTTGCGGCTTCAACAAATATGGAGCCAGAGAGATAATACTTACTCCCTCTTAAGGAAGAGCCTGATTTTAGTGCTGCTCACGTCGTTATGTATCATTTGTGTCAGAACGTGAATATTATCTTCCCACTGCTTTAAGTTCCCGAGCGCCTCATCGATGTCGGTTCCGCTCCTTTCGACGATCATGGCGCCGTAGTTACCCAGGATATGATCGAGATCCTTCTCAGCCCAGACGCCTGGAGTAGACATGGTGCCGATAAGATCTGCGCCTGCAAGCAGCATGATCTTAGCTGGCTTTCGCGATTTACCATCCGCAGATAGGATACCGCCAAGATTGTGGTTGATTTCGTATTCGAAGTGCTGTAACAATTCGAGTCAGTAAAATGTCCACATGCGATATCGGGGATCGGTCCGAGTGGCGACGATTGTTTCATTAGACCCTTAAAAAGGGAACATGTATGTCATGCGCTGTGGGACACGCCGATACTAGGATACTAGGAAAATTAGAGGGACCAAGTGTAGGTATACTCACATCAAGCACCTTAGCAGTTGGCGTGTACTCGGGTTGAATAGCCTCCCACGGGTCAACCATCAGCCAACTTGATGTCTCTTCTGCTGCTAATTCGCACATGCGCAATCTATCAGACGGTACTAGTCGTTAGTTTTATCAACTGCCCGAGAGGATTAAACTATAAGGTCTAGAATAAAGCTAATAATTACGTACCTATGGTACGCCTCTGCTAAACCAGCCTTTTTGTATGCGTCGGACACAGGACTGAGGTAGCCACCTACAACCTCGTACTGGGTATTTATACGGGCGTAGTCGTTGGCCATTTCAAACATGCGAAGATGAAGATAGGTGATAGGAGAAAAACTACCACAGGCGACGAGAACCAGCGGAGTGCGATCGGGCGTCCTCTGCTGTCGCAGAAGCCGGTGCGCTGGGAATGTGTAGTTGTCCAGCGTCATATTTGAAGCTGCCTGCGGCGCTGGCTCCGCGGCGTTGTCCGTCATTGTCGGCAAGTTCTTACGGGAAGGACTTGTATTCCAAATGTTAAATAGATACTTGTTTGCTTGATATGTAGTAAGTATCGTAAAGGATGGTATGAATGCTGAATGAATGCAAAGTTCAAATATGGTTTTCAATTAGGTCGAAGAAAACAGAACTTGAAAAAATAAACGAAGTCCTTTGTGGTATGTTAGTTAGAAGGAAATGTACAATTTATGTATGGGGTTTTATGTTAGGTCCACGGGTATGTAGTTGTAACTGTAAAGCTGGGACGGGTTGAGAAGCAAGCGGGAGCTGATCATCAAAGGAAGTCTACCTACCTAAGGTAAGTTACCTAGGACGGCTAGGTAGGCCTCGCCTTTATATAGGTACCTTCTTGTGACTTATTATGCTATGTGCCTTACTAGTGCTATCTACGTAAACTCGACGCCGCACCCCCCAAAAAAAGGTGTTGCGCTTTAATCAAGGAAACAGGTAAAAACTACCTAAAAACACGATCTGAAATACTTTCAAATAGCTGTTATTTCTACGTGTTCTGAAGTATTTTTCAACATTCATAAAGTTTTATAAAAAATTATGAAATTCCTATTATTTCTTTTCCTCTTCTAGCATAAAATATAAAGATCTACTTTTTAAGTTGTGGTCCTTACCTTACTTTAGATGGCTACTTGCCAAGTACCTAACTTCAGTCAGTCGCGGCCGTGGTCGGCCCCGGCATAACCGTTAGACTAAAAAGTTTGGATTTGTAAGTGCTTTTTGTAAGTATTTTGGGATGACATTTTTTTTATGGAGGGTAGTGAACTTTTCATCTTGCTTTTAGACTTTACAGCTTTGAAACTTTACCATTGGGATGGATACTTTAGTTAGTACCTGGTACCCAAGTTAATTGAATAATTGGTCATTTTTTCAATATAAAAAATTAAACACTCTTTAACTCCGACCTCACAGAGCATGCTTTATCAACAGGTAGGCTAATACACCTTTATTCAAATGACCTTTTACCAAGACTTCGACTCCATCCGAACTAGCACTGCCTACAAATAACCAGGCAGCACCACCAATAGTTTGCAAGAAACTATTCATTATAAGCAAGGAGGGCAGTCTCAATTCTGGTCGAGATCCGCTCGCTTACCTACCTTAGGTAGATAGCCCGCTTTTGTATCTGCCTCAACTGCCTGGCATGTTTTAGCCCTGGTTAAGTCTGACACAGTGCATTTTGCGGGGTGAGCCCTTTATGAAGTGGGCAATATTCTCGGATTGTCACGCAATGCATACATGTTACGTTAGGTACACTTGAGACATCCAACATTACCTAACCTGGGTAAATTTATATCTAGGTATAGGCATAGGTATAGGTATATAATATATCTCTTCGGCTTGCTTTCTCATATCACTAAGAGATACCTACATAGTACAGGTAACAATCACAAGTAGAAGTTAGAAGCTAGAAGTTGAGAAAGATGAAAAGTACCTAACCTTATAACATAAACGATGACATAAACTCAGTCTACTATCTTAGAAGTGTGTCTAATTAAATTGGAAACAAGCTCAATCGATAATTGATTCCCGACATAGCCTTATGTTACGAGATGATGCACATAAATCTTTGTGTCACCGTGGATCTATCTGACAAGGCCCCTGCGCTGTCTGTTACCATTCTTCACCAAAACAAGACATTGCCCCTATCTACGTAGCTGGACTTGTATCACGTCTCATTCGTATTCACATAAATAAAACCATCCAAGCGATGAAAACAGGCAAGCTCCTAAGAGGTAGTCTAACCTAGTAATAAAAATAACTTCAGATGAAATTATTGAAAAAGTTGTCTTCTCCCATCTATTGCGACAGCCAATTGATCATCCATATCCATGTGATCCCCGACCTTGAAACGCCGCCAATGCTCCGTAGCGTAATATAACCTTTGCTCTAGGTAGTGAGCCAAAAAGCTGATGCGTGTCTTTATGTTAGGTACCAAAGAAGCCACTTCGGTAGAACGGAGCATCATCTCATCAGGAAGTGACTTGCACTTTGTCATCCCTATTGCCTTCCCGTGATGAGGCACGACCCAGTCTGTATCTCAACCTTCCATCCATCAGCAACAAGCGCCTTGATTACGCTGGCGCGCAACGGCGACCTTCCGTCGGAAGAGTGTCTACCAATGCCCGTAACCACGGTGAGCCCGTGCGTCTTCGCTTTCCGCGCCCGCTCCTCGCCGAGGCCCTGCCACCATCTCGATACGCGGTCGAGGGCAATCTCTACGCCGTCCTGCACCGTGACGCCATGGAGGTCGATCATATCTTCCCTGCTCTGCTGGTCGACGAGGTAATTCGCCTCGACGCTGTTAGCTTGACGATAGCTCATGGCTTGCTGGCGGCCGCGTTCGGCGTAGTACGCGCCGGCCTGTCTGTATAGAGGGTTGGATCTGCCTTTCTTAAAAGCTGCTGTCGCTGACGAGAATGAATGGTTTCTCGACTCGGCCAGGGTCTTTGAGGTAGCATCCTTGAGATTCCCTGGACGGGTTGAAGCTCGTATAGGCAGCTCAACTGTCTGCGAACGGATAGCCGTAGGAGACCTTGGCGATTGCCTTAGATTTGAAGCATTGATGGGTTCTGGCATCACAATTTCCTCGGGGTGTGATGCCACCACACTGTATGATATGTCGTATTTCAAGTAAGCCGGTTTCTCGAAGTGATCCCCTAATATACGGATGATATCTGTAGCGTCACCTGGGGTTGAGCAAATATCGCAAGTCGCTTCCACGTACTCTGGGGGCACCCAAGGGAACTGCTTCTTCTTTTGCTCAACGGGGGACGCCAAATCAAGATTTGATACCGGCATGACCGCGGCGATGTAGTTGTCCAAAATCTTGACCACGGTAGCTCCAAGGGAGGCATTATGTTGCCGGTAAATGCTCGCCACCTCTGAATGCGGCAGTTGAAGTTTATCGGATATGAGCGCGACACGATCCTCTGTAGAATTTGATTAGTTGGACAGATTCTATACTCTGACGGTTCTCTGTGTATATTCAGCTTCTTACCACTCTGTGCAGCGTCGCCATTGCTTGCATCCTGAAGTGTATCTTCCGGGTCCGCATGTTTTGGCAACGCCACCTTCGCCGCTTTCTTCTTTTTCTTGCCCTTCTTCTTCTTACTCGGGACATCGTCGTCAGATACGTAGAAGCCATCAATCCCTTTAGGACGTTGACCTGTTTGCTCAAGCAATTGTAGGTTAAGGAGTTCGTCAATAGCGAGACTCGCATCGCCCTTTGCCTTCTGCAGGGACAGCTTTACATCTATGGGTTTAAGTAAGATGAACATCTGAATAAGTCGTCCTTCCTTCTCATCATCCGTAAGGCCGTTGAAGATTCTCGCATGGAAATCTACCGGGGTCCCGGGAGTCGACATTTTCGATGACTCTGAAGATATGATACTGAGAGGTATGGAACTCTCTGTTGTGGCAGTGAAGCCGCCAGTGCTCTTGACATCGCTACTGGTTGCACCAGTAGCGTCTAGGTCCTCATCCTGGCTGGAAGGATTGATGTCTACAATATCATCTGCTCCTAGACCGCTCGGATTGAAACCAGTGGCTTCTTCTGCTTCTACATCCTTGGAAATAGTCAGGAGGACTTGTCGCGCATCAGCGAATTGCTTGGGATCCTCCAAGTTATAGTCACTAAGGATGGACAGAATAGTTGTCTCATCCAAGAGAGACCGAAGCTCGTCCTTGATTCAGTGATTAGTTATAGTTATTCGGAAGAACTAAGAAAGAGAAAAAGGTGTAAATATAAATTGAAAAGGGATGTCTCCTTCTACAATTATATGATATGTGACAGTGCATTCTCGAGTCTTTGCGACTGAGCCCCAGTCCCAACAGCAATCTGCAAGTGCACGGAAACTTGCTATAAGGCAAGACAAAGAGAGAACATATATAGACTTACCAGCAACTTCTTCCCTGGACCGTCCATAATAATTATATACTGGGATACAAAAATGTCTTTCCAGCCGTAAAAATGAGAAATGACTATCCAAGTAGTCTCAAGTCTACCAACTATAGATGATGATATATTATGGTAGTTATCTCTTTCTAAAGCGGGAAAAATTGGGAGAGACTAGAGCTATACAACCAAAAAAATCGAGCCTGCCGTTGATGCATTATAAAGATACTACTAATGTTTGACAGGGGATTGACTAAGTGCGTGAGTGCGTGAATGTGCGAGCTGTGCTTCGGTTGGTCGTGTAAGTAAAAGTGAGTGAATGAGTTCTCGCGTTGGCAAATTCACAATGTTGAGACGGGAAATGTGACTTATGACGGCCCTTTTTTATTGGTGCGTCGAATTTCTATCAGGAGGAAGGCTTAGGTTACCTACCGTGCTACGACAGGCACGGGATGCACCTGAACGGTGTCTGGGAAGTGGCAGATTAGGTGTGCTCAGGTGGTAACTGCCCAAAGCGATCTGCTGATGCCCTGACTCCCCCGGCCCAGTTGCTAAGGTTAGCCGCTTTGTGCGACCTTGATGCCGTCATTAGCGCGCATTCAGCTATGTACCTAGGTAATGACTAACAAACAATTGTCCGATAGGTATAATGTTTTGGTATTGTACTTTGTACATTCACTGATTCATTCAGAACCTTATGCGCTATACCTCTTACACTAAAGTCTCTACACGTACTAGGTAGGTAAGTCATTATTCTATATTCTATCTAAAACCGTGTTCGTACATCGTAAAACGTGTCTACCAGGTAACACCAACATACCCGTCTACCCCGTCTAGCCCGTTGGTTACACAGCTACACCACTTTAAAAATTACACGGGTAGGTACCTATGTATAGCAAGCTCTGCTCCCATTCTCTCTTCCCCCCTCCTCAAGGGAAATAGGTATACAGTTACGTTTCAAACACATCGGAACAACCTTAGAACCTCTCAAAACTCCCGACTCTCCCCAACATTGCACGTATCAAAAACGCCCGTCTCCGGCAACCCTTTCCTCCTGAGCGCCTCCCTCAGCATCTGCGGGGGCTCGAGGACGGGCTCGGCGGTAAGCACCCAAGTGCCCCAGTGGACGGCCATGGCGCGCTTACACCTCGTGTCGGTGAACATCTCCACGGCGTCGTACGGGTTGCCGTGCACGCCCGAGAACAGGTGGCGCGGCTGGTACGCGCCGATGGGGATGAGCCCCAGGTCGAACGACCCGAACCGCTCCCCGATCTGCCGGAACTGCGGGCACCGCGGCAGGTCCTTGTACTCGGGCCCGTAGTCGTCCGTACCCGCCGGCAGCTTGGGCACCGCCCGGTACCCCGTGTCCCCGCCGAACCAGACCGACTTCGCCGGCGACCCCGAGGCCACCGCCCACGACGCCCAGAGCGTGCTGTTTTGGTCGAGGATGCCTCGGCCGGACGCGTGCTGGCAGGGCAGACAGGATATCTTTGCGGTGATAGGACCTGGCGAGTCCGAGCTGCTCGTGCCGGTCTCGCCCTCAGCAGATTGCGGCGTCAAGGTGAACTCTGCTTCCTGCCACCAATCCATTTCCGTCACGTTATTAAAGCCTCCCTCCTTGAACCACTTCTCCAGCCCCAGCCCGACGAAGAAGTGCGCGTTGGGGTGGTGCTGCTGGATCTCCTTGGCGGAGGGGTACGACAGGTGGTCGTAGTGGCTGTGGCTAATGACGACGGCGTCGACGAACGGTAGGTCGGCGATGCTGCACGGCGGCTCGGTGTACCGCTTGAACTTGGACAAGTAGACGGGAGTGCAGCAATCCTCGAAGACGGGGTCGAACAGCACGCGCAGCCCCGACGGGTATTCTACGTAGTAGCAAGAGTGGCCCAGCCACGTAGCGCGGAGTTTCGACGACGACGTGCGAGTAGGTAGGAATTCGGGTTTTACGACCGGTACGAGTTTGTCTTGCGTGCTCGGCGTCGGCCAGTTCGACGTGCCAGTAAGTGCTCTTCTACATTACCCCGGGAGCGTTAGCTGATTTATAAACCCCCAAGTAATAAGGTTATTTTATATCCCAATGGCCTGGGGACGTACACTGTCATTTCCAGTATCTGGAGGCGGCCGGGGAAAGAGAATGAGGGGTGGGGATTTCGAAATCTGACAGTGTTTCCATGGCGATCCTTAACATGGTGAGATTGGGGGTCGAATTCTTGGGCCTCGGCTGGTTGCGGTGGATGTAAAGTGACAGCACTATAATATGTTCCCATCGAGAGGGCGACGGTAGCACCCCCCATAGAAGACATCTTTGAGAACTGTGTTTTGGGGCGTATTGGAGGAGGTCCTCTTCGAAAGAGAACCCGGGAGAAGAAAGTCATGGGATGACAGAAATAATATAGGAGAAGGACCAGAAGGTCAGACGTGTCAATTATCTACGTGGAATTTTAGGAACTGTAGTAATGTGCACCTAACGTAACTTCTCACTCAGCATTTTAGGTAGTCATGTTAAATGTTGATGTAGCCAGCCATTCATTGGTATGAAAATCAGATTTCTCTCAGCTCGCTCGGAGTTAATGTAAGTAAGAACTAATCCCCTTGGTAATAGAGGGGCACAACTCCGGCGCGTCACCCGTTTAGGCCTTATCGTTGTCAGGTCAGCCAGCAGGTCCGTGTTCAACACTGCAGTTTTGCTCCCTAAACCTGTGCTGAAAAAAAAAAAAAAAAAACACCGGACTAACGGTCTAATTTTGAATCCGATAAATCCTGCGGACATTTGACGGCCGTATCGGCGTTGGTTTGGTTTAGCTGAAGATCTAGTAGTGCGGAACTCCACTGTTGAAAAACCCAACGGTATTTGTGTTACCGTTCATGTACCCCGCAGGCTATAATTAGTACCTAGCTTTCTATACATAGTAGTACATAAACTTTGCATATAAGGCCAGCCCATCATAAAATCATGTCTACCTGGTACCTTATACGAAGTGGTGTGTGTATACTATTGATTAAAATAGTATACAATTGCCCTTAAATAATCATCAAATAGTCAATGTCAACGAGTATGGCTAGTCGGGTTAATGAAAACTTACAGCATATCTTAACGAGACTCAATTTTTAGCACATATATGATGATATTAACGGCCACGAGTTTCGTACGAATAAACTTCTTATAAAGCATCGATATATCGATTCCTCTTGTTAGTCCAACACTTTCAAGAGTTTATACTTCGTTACAACCATCGCCGTGACCGCAAACCTATCTATCCGCTTACCCACCCTAACTTTCTTCACCAGCACCTTCTTCGCTCTCATTCCTCTCACACTTACCTTCTTCATCCCCATTCTTATCATCGTCATCGTCCTCGTCCTCCTCGTCGTCCTCCTCCTCCTCAGGCGGCACCCAAACCAGTACCCCCTCCCTGTCGCTCTTCATGCCCTCCGTCGGGATGATCTTCAGCACCTTCTGGAAGTACTTATCCCTGACCACGAGCGTCGGCCGTATCCAAGCCCCCCTGACGAGCGGCAGCAGCCTGTACGTCACGGTTCTGCGCGCGACGGGCAGCACGTTCAGCGTCGTGGTCTTGGCCCCCGAGAAGGCGAACTCGTCGCTCGGCTCCATCATCAGCCCAAACGTCAGGAAGTGCGACGACGGGTTCTCGATCGTGATGTCTAGGAAGAGCAGCTGCGGCGGGGGGTTGGAAGACGGAGAAGAAGAAGAAGATACGGAGTCAGATGAGTTAGGAGGTGAGTAGTAGGACACGCTGGCCAAGACGCGTGGTTCGGAGACTGTGACGAAAAACCGTGGGAGTGGTAAGACTGTGGTATTGACTGTGTCTTGGGGAGAGGTGAGTCGTCGCCACTTGATAGTAAAAGCCAGATCCGCCGTCGCCGGTGACCGGTCATCTAGATCAAACTTTTGAGCGATGAGTTCGAACTGCGTTTCCTCGATTGTCTTGGGACCAATAATTGCGCCATCTGCCACGGCCGGCTGGCACTGAGATGCCTTACAACTTATATTTCCTTGCGTAGAGAGAATGTCCACATTTAAGCCTAGGATAGCTAGATCTTCTTGTGCAAATGAGGCGTACCGAGTGGCGAGAGACCATTTCTGGGCCAGTCCTCGAGGGCGGCGGACCACTTCATCGCCCTCAGATGGATCTTGAATATCTTCGGGGTTGAAGTAGTTTGGCCACTCGTAATGGAGTCGAGGAGACAGATCGTAGCTTGCTTCGAAGGGGTTAACAATATTTAGACGGTACGTCGTTTGCTGGATGATTGGTGTTCCCGGATCCGATACGAGATGATATCTTGCTCTCGCTATCAATTCGAGCACCATAGGCCCATCAACCGGGTCAATAGTAACAGCAGCTTTCGCAGACTTGGAACTTGGTATAGTCCCGACTGGGATTCCGTCTAGTCTGGATTCCTCTACACCAGCATTGCTAGTCTTTTCTGCACCGCCTTCAATCTGCACTCTGCAACCAGGGACATTTTGCCCATATAAGACTATGTCCAATTTTGTGTTGGCATCGGCATCTTCTTCGTTAAGTATCTCTAACTCGAGCGGTACATTTTCACTTGCGTAATATTGCTCAAGCATATTTATAAGTCTGAGCTCCATTTTGGGAGGCCTTGGAAGGACCTTGATTTTGTGGGGGTTTGTCCGTGTGACTTTCTTCTTCGTGGAAGTTGGTGAATACCATAGGCCAACCTCGTTCGTTTCCCGAAGCCTAATCGTGTATTTAAGAGTGAACGATTCTGGCGCTACAGAAACCTGTACTGAAGACGCTCTGGCATCACCGGGCTCTCGTAATGGGACGTCCATTTCAAAAATTCGCGTTTGACCTGGTAATATCGTTAAGTCGTCTGTTCCCTGCAGTATAATTGTAGGTGTCGTCTCGGCGCTCGATTCTGAATCATCATTAGAGTCGTCATCATTATCATCATCACTATCCTCCGTCTCGGCTAAAGCTACTTTCGAAACACGTAACCTTGAAGACGAGGTGTCCTGATCGTCACTGGCTTTGTGTCCTAAGTCAATTGCGTGTAAGCTGCCGTCAAATTCGATTCGAATTCTCTCCAATACTACTGGAGCGGCATCTGGAAAGGAGTTGGACGTGATCGAAAGTTGGGTTGGACAACTCTGTCCAGCTTTTCCTTCATCATTTTTAAAAACGAAAGACGCATGTAGAAATGATGTGACATGCTCGTCGCCGATTTCTATAACAGGTCGGCTGTCTGTGGTGGATACATCATCTAAAGACTTCGTTATGTCGTAATGCCAACCCGGCCGTCGAGAGAAGCCTATACTAGGTGTTAATTTCTAAGCTACTAGTTGTTGAAATTAGCACTACTCACCCTTATTTAGGAGCTCCCAATCAATGGCAACAATGAGATTCTTGTGGCCAACTTCTACCGCTGCACCCCTTAGAGTCCAACTGAAAGCCTCCATGATGTCCCACCAACCTTCTGCACGGTACGACATGTCTCTCCATAGAGGTGTAAGGATTTTCAAGATTTTTCTCCACTCCTTCATCCTCTCTAATTCTTTACAGCACTCGAGCGCCAGTTCCGCCGAGGTCCGAATTTGATGTCGTTTCTGAAACTCATTGTGTGCTAACATTAAGTGGTTAAAAATCAGTTGACTATGATTTACCCCTGGCCCTACCAATGGGAATTCCTCGTAAGGTTCCGGGCACATGTACGTATCGTAGCTATAGGTCTTGTTCGGCTGAGACGGCGAGGACGCATCTGGTGGTTTGCGATCTTCTTCAGGTATAGTCCATGCTAACTTTCGTCTATTGGCAAGGTGCCATGCAGCTATCCGGTACCAATACCCTTGATGATGAAGTAGTTCCCATGGTTGTAAACGGTCTGCTGAGAGATTCTTTTCAGGAGGGCGATAGGGTAGGGTGCTACTCGGCTCTAACTCAGGAAACTGGACTCTTTCGATCAGATTGGCCATAACCGTGTTCCATCTTGCTTCCCACGCTTTCCACCCATAGTTCTGTGTTCCCCGACCCCTTCGATCGACTAGGTCAAATATTCTATCGTTATGTGCTTGCCACCTCCTAACGGCGGTAGTGCTTAGTCCAAGCCATAGTAGGCATTTCAAAATGCGAATAGCTATTATATCGGCTAGAAGTCGAGCATCGTTAAACCTAGGATCCCATCCGGGAATGGTTTCGAGCACGTCGACACCGAGAAGAGAGTCATAAGCTTGCTCATAAAATCGCAAGGCGACATCTATCTCTTGACGGAACTCGGCGAAAATGGCAGCTTTAAAATCATAGCGTACATTCCAACCCTGCAGAGACAACGTATGAGAAGTACCGCTGGTAGGAGGAATAGTTGGTTGCGGCGCGATTCCCCTTCCCCTTTTTTTGCGGGAGTGTCTACCCAGATCGCGATAATACTCGAGCGCTTGTTCGAATACTGCAGTCAGTACGTTATCAACAGCGTTTTCTAGCTCCGCCTCTGTACGTTGGGTAGGCAAGACGAATAACGAGGCTTTGGGGTCCAAGCCTGTGCTCCTCTTAATATTGTCTAGTCTTTCTTGAAACTGGCCTATGGAACTTGGCGACTGGTCGCTGAGGATAACCGCAACAAAGCGACATTTGTAGCCGGACTGTAGTAGAATATTCTTAACGGCATTTATATCTGTCTTTAGCTGGTTATCGTGTAGGGTTGCAAGCGTAGGATCCGAAGTCAGGCTATAAAAAGCCAAGCACACACTGGGTATGAGATCTTGATGCTTTCGAAGCCATTGCGTATCTACTAAGCCATCTGGGTATAGGCTAGAACCTGGACTGAGGGGTGAGAATGGAGAGTGCAGAACAAGTGGTGATAAAGGCGCCTCGGAATTATCAGGAAGACGTGCACAGCGAGGCGGGAGCAAGAATTCCTAAGAGTCAATGTCAGACCTATCTCTTATAGCCACCCAACGCGTCGTAGGAATAAAAATAATTCTATGGGGTTTAGACATACCCTCCCCACTGTACTGATCTTGAATTTGTATTTCCTTGACGGGTCTCGGGAGTGCCACGGCAGATTAGTAGCGTCCTTCTCTTGGATGCAACGAAGGATGATTTTTGCTTCTCGACTCTCTATAGGGGGTATCTCCGACCGGACGAGAACACTTTGCTCCCTTAAGCTAGGATCTGGTGGGGAAACTTTTGCAGAAGAATTACTTAGTCCGGAGACGACGAGGAATGGGACATTATGGTCCAGGCTACCCGCTGGGAAGTCGTCCATTGGTCTAATAGGAGAGGGGCTCGAAAGACATTGGTGTCCGCTTATACGAACGGATCGGAAGTTGTCATTACCAGAGTAAGGTAATAAGTTGGCTCAGATCATCATCCTGGTGGTGGGCAATTATATTAGTTGTATGGATTCCAAGTCAGGTCTTTAAGGCTCACATGCGTATGGGCTTCTTAAGCATCCGTTGGCTTCTTGGTGGTACCTAATGCTTAACGAAATGCTGACTCGACGTACTTGGTACAGCTCACAGCTATATGTAGGAAATTCAAGGATGTAGGCTGATATCATGGCCCATTATTGCATATATATATGTGGCTTTCCGCAGCGCTCGTAAATATTGTATTGTCTTAGCTGATATCGAATTCGAAGATTCAGTGACCTCACACAAGGTACGAAGTACAGGTGGGGCCACTTAGAATCGGACCCTAGTGGCTTGCTTTATGCCGATTGCCTTACCTTAGGTAATAATGCATGTACCTTAGGTATTGTACCTACCTATCTAAACTGCATGGCGCTACAGGTACAATAGGTACCTGGAACATGATTTAGGTACAATACAATACAAGGTATCCAGGTAACACCGTTATCTTGATTGGTGAACCCATGCGCGCACACTGCGGGCAGCAGCCAGCAGCAGCCTTGTCCCAGACTCCCCAGCTCCAGTCGTGTCGTTACGAAAGTCTTTCTTCCACAGCTCTTTTTACAATTTCCCTCAGTCGCAACAAATCTCACTATTGCATTGTCTAAGGAGGTCTGCTATAATACCTAACGATTCCCTTACATGTTCTTAATATAACTCGGAACCCGTTTAATTCAACTACCTCACCCTAACATCCCGTTCTCGAAACGCCTTTGCCTACCTTCTTTCCATTCCGATCCCGCGACCGACAGACACGCCATTTTATTACCCACCGTAACAGAAATCTTGTCAAAGGAGGCCGCTCTATAAACTTTCTCTACCGTCAATAGTTTGGTGTCGTTATTATATCTTATATCTACCGAACCTACCAAAGCTGCCGGCGACAGATCATTACCGAAACATACTCAACTCTTGCGAATTACAGGCGACCATAACAGCTGGCGGTCGCAATGACTTCCCAACAAGTTCTTTTCTCCGAGACCATTGCGGCGATGAAGAAGGCAAGAAAGCGCAAGGCATACGGTAAGGCCTTTCGCAGAACATGTTTGGTGTTATTATTCACTGACAACCTGGTCTGGTAGAATCTGATTCTGATTCCGAAATTCACTACCATGGCAACCGGGGACACAAATTAATGAAGAGGGCTAGGTTTGTTCACGAGGGACAGTTAGCACCGCCCTCAGGGCCTGAAGTATACAAAGAGGTATGTGTTATAATTCCTGGAACAATTCGCAGTGGATTTTTTATATATTTTTTTTTATTCTATCTAACAGAATAACACTTTACAGATCGTCAACCACGCCGGTTATCAAAGAGCGATCATTAGCCGAAACCCTGTACTTATTGATGACGAAGGTTACGAAATCGATAGCGACGATGATCAAGAATATATTCAAGACGTTGCCGACGCAGCAGCCGAGTTCAATCCGTACGCTAACGTACGACTCGAAAGTTGGTTTACAACACCCAGCCTAGTCCTCCGTACACAAATGCTAATAGCCGGTCTTTTCCACAGACATTCTTGCGCCACTTACCTCTGTCACCGATCTTCCCACACATCCTACTTTATCCCGACCTTATAGCACAAAAACACTCACAGACTTAACAAATCAAGCTTGTAATATCATGCATAAAGAAAACGCCGCGCTCTGGAAGGTTAAACACTTACAGACAAAGTTGGTTGGCGATCACATCTGGGCTCCCTGTGCCATAATGCTTGGTCCCAACGATATCGAACTTTACCGCGACGATTATATGGATCCAAACAGTCAAGCACACGGGTCTGTCAAGTCAGATACCAATATACCCTCACCAGAAGAAACACAACCGAAAACCAACAAAACCGCTGCAACTACAAGAAATGAAGACGTTTCTGCACCTTTTACCGAGACGATAGCTAACGGAACAAAATCTGATGACGACACTACGATGTTTGATGCCGAACCGCCAGCGGACGCCGATACAAGTGCGCCCGAGCCTACGACGACGCAGACCGCTAAGGCTGTTCCCGAGGAGCGGAAACAAAACGCGGGGAGCGACACACTAAACAAGGCGGGAGAAAAGGAGGTGGGATTGGATGCAACCGAAATTCAGCAAGGTACTGCTGCCGATATCAGCGTCAACGGCGCCAAAGATGTCCACTCTATAGGGTCTACTAGCGGGTTAGCGACTGGCAGCGTTGCATCGGCTGGGCAAGGAGAAGCCGACAGGGCACCCAATAGTAGTCGGATTGGCGAGGAGGTCGATCACGAGGGTAGTCGGGCAGTGTCAGTGATGTCGATGTTCACAGAAGAAACGCCCATCCACCCTCTGTTCTTACATCCTCGATCAGCTCGACCCGATAGAGACCTCGGGATTCCGGAGGCAGAAGCAGAGGATATGCGGCGGTTATTGCAATTATATGTGCAAAAGCAGGAAGAGGTCTGCCGTGGAGCGAAACGACTATACGAAGGACTCCTTCGGGCAGATAGAATGCGGAAGACAGTCTTACAGTGGTCCAAGTACGAGGCTCATGTCGGTTCAAACCGCGACATGTCGGACGGAGAGGACTGGTACGATAAGGAGGAGTGGGGCTTAGAAGATGATCTAAAGAAAGGTCAGGATGAAGAAGAAGAGGATACAGCACAGCCGGCCAAGAAGACGAGAACCCGAAAGTAAGGGTAACTAAAGGCAAGGGTTAGAGGCTCGTGTGGTGGAGGTTTTTTGGTTATCGGATACCCGATGAGATGGGTTGTTGGCAGCAGTCCAATCCATAAATCGAAGGAGGAAAAGGTATCAATATAACCTTTTCTTCCCTCAGTAGAATTTGTACCCTGAGGCATCAGCATATTCTTTGTCAAACAGGGGAATCACGTCGGCTATGATATGAAGTCATAAAATATAAAGTAATGATCTCGGAGTTACTATTTAGCATGATGTATATAGTAGCATAAACTACCTAGTACCTAGGTAGGTATTCGTACGATATGATGTTCTGAGCTGGGTTGTTAGTTGTTGTTATTTGGTTGGTGGTTATGAAAACAAGTATGTAAGTGGTACTAATGTACCCGAGTTGCGATGTATAAAAAAATGAAGAAGACCACAAACCGAAGCCCAGTAATGCACGTGCACTCCGATCGGATCGATAATCGATTACATAGTACATGTATGTAAACGCTATCTGACGAAGCTATGGGTAAGGAGGTCGGGATGATACCATACGGAAAATGCATGTGTTTTGCATGACCAGACCAAAAAAAAAGAGAACCTAAATACATAACCTAAGCCCCAACAATTCTTAGTCCACAAAACCTAGTTTCCTCCCCAGGCCACGTCCATCTTTTGCTTTCGTAACCATATTCAAGTTCCTTAACACCAAACGTCATCACGACTTACGGAATTATTGAAATACAAAAAAAAGTCACCATTAAATATTTTAAAGATTAGCCGCAGCTAGCTTCATCTTTAGTTATGGCACCTTTAGATCCCTCTGTGACCAAGCTGGTCGACCTCAACCAGAAGAGCTTGTATAGTATGTTGGAAGTAGACAAGCATGCGCAAACGGAATAAATGCTAACAGGAATAGTTTCTGCGCTTGCAATTGCTTTTAATCCTCTATTCTGGAAGTAAGTCTCACATTACGAAATATATATCATACTATAAACGCCTAGTTTTATAGCTCTAAAAAGGGGATATGCTAACTGGAGCTATAGCATCGTAGCTCGAAAAGGTCAGTCCATTCCGGACTCAAACATTAATATACTTCAATTCGCTTAAATTATATCCCCATCCACCGTGGAGGAACTAACATTGGAATCTAGAATACCATAACAAGACACTTACCAAGCTCTTCGGCGGACATTCGCAAGCCGCATGCTATGGGTTAGCTCTCACGATTTTCTCCCTTGGCCTGGTGCGCGACTTCTTATACGAGCGTGCCCTGCGCCAGCAACCCTCCTACCCGCTACTCGAGCTGGACGAGGTGAAATACCTGGCGTACGCACTGATTGCCGTGGGAAACATACTGGTCGTGTCCTCGACCTGGGCGCTGGGCGTCACGGGCACGTTCCTAGGGGATTACTTTGGGATACTGATGGATGACATCATAACGGGCTTCCCGTTCAACATCACGGACGCGCCCATGTACAACGGGTCGACGTGCAGCTTCCTGGGCACGGCGCTGCTGTACGGCAAGCCGGCGGGGATCCTGCTGACAGCCTGGGTCTTCGTCGTCTACCAGATCGCGCTCACGTACGAGAACCCGTTCACGGCGGAGATATACGCCAAGAGGGAGAGGGAGCGGGCTGCGGCAAAGACGGGCAGCAAGAAATCGCAATAAATCGGCAAACTGACTGGCTGGCTAAGCACTTACTATGTACGTACCTAACATAGTACTCGGGGTTAGGTATGCATGTGCCCATACCGATATTTGCCGAGACTCGCCCGAAACCAGAAATCGACTACGCAGGGTGGGCCAACGGACGGCTGATGATGATCCGAGATAAGCCCTTACGTTACTACCTAATAATGTATTGTACGTACGAGGTGTGGGAAATTAGTACGGCGGTGTATTCAACAACACACACATCTAAAAGGCGTTTGCATGGAGGGATCCGGCGTTGGAGAGGAGAGGAAACATGAGTTAGATGGATAGGTTACCGTGAGGTAAGATGAATCAATTGCAAAGAGAGACAGGCCACATTTAGACGACAGCAAGTTAGACGGGGCTCTGTAATAAGTAACTAATGTCGAAGCTGCCTTACCTACCTGTGTGTCATTAGTATGTTTCTGATACTTGATGCCGTGGTGGTTATTGTTTATGATATATACCAGGTACCTAAGGTAACTTTGCTCAATTCTAGGACTTTTCGCATTGGTATTCAGTGTGCCAAGAACCAACCAACTCTCAACTTTTTTTTTCTTCGACGCCCACTTTCACGTGCAGATATTATATTAAACATGGAAATCGAGGCGAATTGCGTGACAAAGATGCAAACACCTGTGATATAAATTAGACAAAGTTGTAGAGATAAGGAACAATTGAATATGAATACTCTTAGTTTCTCATTATACCCGAATCAATTTATAGTACCTATCTGTTGAGAAAGGACGGCATGTGTAAGTCCGGTACGGATTCGGGACAGCGGGTTGGAAGCTACTAGGATCAGCCCGTGATACGGAGAAACCGTGTGGAGATGATATCGATGATGTACCGCCCTCGGATAAGATGACCAACTATTACAATACTCCAAGACACAAAGACACACAAGTGCAAGGCGTAAAAAGATGTGCGTAATAAGGTACCTAACGAACCCACAACCATCCGTAGTGCGTAACTGCTAGTAACTATTACGCTAAATTCCGGGGTATGGGTAACTTCCAGTGGAGAACATCCCCTGGACGTGGGTGCCTTTTTAGTTCAAACATCTAGAAGCGACGAATCAACGAATCAATCCTTACGACTACCCAGGTAAGTTAGGTAAAAAAAAGTACTTAAACTCTGAGAGCCGATTGCCACTTTTACGACCTTTTTGGCCTTCCTTCTTCCGATACCGTTAACACCCGTACCCCGTACCCCGTCGCCCGTCCCTCGTCTAGAGGAAATCTACTTCACTTACATATATTTAATATAGTAGCCTCGCACGCGATTGGTTACATTACATTTAGTTTCTTTGTGTTTATTTTGACAAGAAAGAAGAAACCAGAAACCAGAAACCTTTCATGTTTATATCATATCACTGAAAGGAATAACGTGGTTATGGACTAAGGAATAAAAAGAAAAGAAAAAAAGAGAGAGAGAAGAGAAAGAAAAAGGGCACTTGCAAGAAAGTTCCTTGTGGTCCCCCTCCCCTTTTTAACTGGGGTCCCAAATTTGGTATCGGTTCGATCATGAACCAGACGTCGCGGACGGACGAGCCGTACGAGGGCGAAGGGCTCAACCAGAGCCCGAACGCCCTCTCGAACGACCTCGTCACCAACCAAGACCTCAATGGCATCGCTAACGCCAGAGAGCACAAGGGCGACACCTCGAGGAGTATGGACAACTCGGGACAGCCTGTGACGGATCGCGTTCCACCCGCCATCGAGGAGGACCCTGATGGTAGTGATGTCGGTGCTACTGCGCCGAATCTGACCATCGCCGGTCGTACGATGGGTCAGATCCCTGGGCGGGCAACCAACCAGGGCAACGACGACGGCGGCTCGATTGCCTCGCGGAAGCAATCATTTTGGCAGCGCGTCTGCCAAACCGTCGTCACCTTTGGCAAGTTTGTCGGGCCTGGCTTTTTGGTCGCCGTAGCATATAGTACGTTGTTCATTCTGTTCCTCTCCCAAGCTAAGCATATGATACGATGATATGTGTGTATGGACTTATTTGCTAACTTGGACCAACAACACCTATAGTCGACCCTGGCAACTATTCTACCGACATCAGTGCAGGCGCTGAGAATCAATTCCGTCTGCTTTTTATTATTTTGATGAGCAATCTGTTCGCTATCTTCTTGCAATGCCTCTCCATCAAGCTGGGAACCGTCACGGGACTCAACCTGGCTGAGGCTTGCCGTGCATTCTTACCAAGATGGCTTAATTATTTCATGTATTTCTTGGCCGAAGCAGCCATTATCGCAACTGACATCGCCGAGGTAAGTAATTTACTATTGGGCGTATACTAACTACACCAATAACTAACCAGCCATAGGTCATTGGTACCGCTATCGGCTTAAACCTATTGATACCCAAGCTACCCCTCGTTGCCGGTTGCGCTCTATCGATTTTAGACGTCATGGTTATCCTCTTCTTCTATAGGCCTAACGATTCTATTAAGGGTCTCCGAATGTTCGAGTGTTTTGTAATGTTGCTCGTCCTCGCTGTTGTTGTTTGTTTCTGCATTCAGCTCTCGCTTATAGAGGATACATCCGTCGGCGAAGTCTTCTTAGGCTACGTACCAAATGATTCCATAACACAGTCCTCGGGTTTGTTCCAGGCTTGTGGTATCTTAGGTGCTACTGTATGTGCAAGCCCTCGTAACCCCTTGTTACACTTTCACATGCCTCTCCCCGACTTATGCAACGCTATACCAAACTTTTGCGATATCTTTGCCTCCCTTTTTGATCATGCTCCTGAGTATAATCACTGACAAATTTATAGGTCATGCCTCACTCGCTGTACCTAGGCTCCGGCATAGTACAGAGTCGCCTCAAAGACTATGACATCAAACGTGGCCTACTTCCTTCCGGACCACCATCTGCTGCTAACAGTACTATGGATGATAAGATAGGAGAAAAGACCTACTATATTCCTAGTCTTTCAGCCATCAAGTTCTCGTTGAAGTATTCATATGCCGAAGTAGCTCTTTCTCTCTTTACGTTCGCACTCTTCGTAAATAGCGCTATCCTTATCGTCGCAGGAGCCAGTCTCTACCAGAATCCGGATGCTCTCGAGGCCGATATTTTCGGAATCCACGATCTGCTTTCGCAAAGCATCAGCCCCGGTGCGGGCACCATCTTTGCGCTGGCGTTACTGTTCTCTGGTATCTCGGCAGGTATTGTGTGCACGATCTCGGGCCAGATGATTTGCGAGGGTGCACTCAACTGGAAGATGAAGCCGTGGCTCCGACGTCTCGTTACGCGGTCTATCTCCATCACGCCGAGTATTATCATCGCCGGTGCCGCGGGGCGGGAAAAGCTCAACGCCGCTCTTAATGGAAGTCAGGTCGCACTGAGCGTTGTCCTCCCGTTCGTCACAGCGCCGCTTATCTGGTTCACTTGCTTCAACAAGTACATGACCGCTCAACCAGGACATGCCAGATACAAGACGGAGGGAAAAGATACATTTGTGATCAACGGCAATGCCCTCAGTGTCAGCGCAAACGACGGCGAACTCGGCCCTGTGAACGGAGGTAGTCCCGTTAGAATGGCTAATCCGTGGTACATTTCAGTGCTCGCCGGCATCATTTGGCTCATAATGGTGATCATGAATGTGGCGAACCTTGTGCTGCTCGGCCTCGGCCAAGCATAGTCGACGGACACACCAGTACCTCAACCCGATCTCATCCTATAAACAAAATACCAAATGCCAAATTCTGGTAAAGGTCGACAAATTTGCGCATTTGAGGAATTAAATCGGAATCAAGCCCATTGTTAAGGGTTTCGGCATAATCTTCCTGGCGGTGGCCTGCATACTTTGCGCTGTCACTTCGCCTGCGACTCGCATGCCCCATCTACCGCTCTCGATATAATCGCTTGCAGCTAGTTATCTGTTTCTTTCGTAACCCCGATTTTTTTACCATGATTCTTTTTCTTTAACTAGAAGATATTTAACCTAGAAGTATGACCTGATGCGGTCTCACGGAGATAATCAATTGAATGAAGTTGCACGTGTTATTAAAAAAAACGCCGATTTCCCTATTTCCTCATTCGTGCTTCCGATTGTTCGGACCATGCTCCGCTTCCGGTTCGGTCCTAATGGAGGTAATATGCAATTCCCGTCTAATTCTATTCTAATTTTAGATTTCGTATGTTTCACGTCATGCAGAATGCACAGCAACCTAATCTTTCGAACCAGCCCTATGGATCTGTCGGGATCGGGATCGGGATCTTACATAATATTATTATATTAATACATGCACCACACGTCAGGGACCTCTTATTGGGGATACAACGTTACCTAAATAGTATAGCTAGTATCTTACAACCGTATGGCTATCGGTCGCTATAATATAGTTCCGAAAGGGCTGAACGATTTTAGGTACTTAATCTAAATAATTTCACGTCTTATTTTAGCAATGGTATTTAGTTGGTACCTGAGGTATGTATTGTACGTCTAATATACAGGTATGTACTAGGTAGTATAGCACACAAGGCGCATTGCGGGGAGGTAGCGCATGTATTGTAACTTAACTCGGGCCCAACTATTTACGTGATGTACCTAAGGCATATAGTAATTATAAAGCAACACCATGAAGCATAGAAGAAGAAGAGAGAAAAAAAGGGAAAGTTAAATAACTGCTGCAGACTGCTTACAGCTACTATATTTTTGTTTATGTGAGGATTAACGAGACTTAAGTTAATGTAATTTCCAACTATACCAACCTAACCTACCTAAGGTACAGAGAAATAGCGCTGAAAGGAGTATACGGCGATCCTTCGCGCGCAGGGGTTAGTGCCACTGAGCCCCCCCTCCCTATATAAGTACAATACCTAATTTTAACCTAACCCAACTTTTTAGTAACTATGCAAAACAAAGTGAGTAATATGCCAAGATGAAGTCTAGTTTAACTACCTGCTCAGACGGGTCGCATTATCGTGGGACGAAGGAAGACTTTAAACATAGGGACCTAATATAGCGGTATACTTGCATGTCTCCTTATGAAAACGCTACGGTAGCAGTCGCGCCATCTTTAGGCAGCACAATTCGGAGCCAATAGCGAGGACTGGGGTCTGCGGAGATGAAGACATATTGGTCTCGCGAAGGGTACTTGAGCGGATAGGGAGATATGCTCGTCGCGGCTTGGCTGGATACATGGGGTGCTTACACGAAGACGAGTGTGCTCCATCGCGAGTTTCGTTAAAGGGGTATTTAAGACCTGATGGTCGCCCCTCGTGGGAAGGACGATCTTCGTTATTACTGTTCAGTTCACCAGCTTGTCATTGAGCTTCATAGATAGGTAATACAGCAGCAAACAGGTAGCAGAATACCTTACGACTTTCGTTAACTGCTAGCTATCATGAAGCAGAGCATCCTGTTCGCGGTGGCTGCGGGCAGCCTCGCAGTCGCCCTTCCTCAACCAGATCCTCAACCAGACTTTGGTGTAAGTCAAGTTTCCTAGGTAGCTAAGTCATTCTAGACGATGATCTATCTCTCCGGACGACGACCACCCCTTAACGTGCACACACCGCTACCGTATATATATACCTACCTATATACCCACCGCTAACGCCCGTTTCCTCCCAGGCCATCGAGCTCGAAAACGTGACGCTCTCGAAATTCGAAGCGAGCAGCGACCTGGTGTCGCGGGACGGGGGCCCGTGGAACGGGCCGGTGATGGACATCAGCTTCCCGGACCCGACGCTGCTCATCGACGGCGACACGTGGTGGGCGTACGCGACCTCGAGCGACGGCCACGGCCACATCCCGCTCGCCAAGTCCACGGACGGCGGCGAGCGCTGGACCTGGACTAAGAAGGACGCCCTGCCCGACGTCGGGCCCTGGGTCGACCCCAAGGATAGGGGCATCTGGGCGCCGAGCGTGTTTAAAAACGACGCTGGGAAGTTCGTCATGTACTGTGAGTGAAACTTTTACTTTATAAGACCCCACCATCCAACCCTTCCCCCTCATATATATATACATAAGGAGATAAAAAAAAGAAGAGAGAGAGAGGTATAGTGGTAGTGGTGATAGTAATTAATTAGTAACTGACAACGATTGCCATATACCAGTCTCCGGGAAGCGCACGGGCGGGAGCCGGTGCGTGGGGACGGCGATAGCGGACCGGCCGTACGGCCCGTTCAAAGTGACAGCGCAGCCGCTGCTGTGCGACGACGCGGGCGGGGGGATCATCGACCCGGTGCAGTTCGACGACGGGCACAACCGGTGGGTCCTGTGGAAGGTGGACGGGAACTCGCTGGGCGGGCAGACCACGTGCACGGGCCGCCCGCACACCCCCGGGTACAAGCCGACGCCGATCCGCATCCAGCGCGTGACGCGCGACGGCCTCACGCTCCAGGGGAACGCCAAGACCATCCTCGACAACGCCGGCGCCGCGGACGACGGCGTCGTCGAGGGCCCGGCTATGTGGAAGAGGAGGCCCGGGTCTTATGTAAGTGCCCTTCCTGATTCAGCTGGAACATCATCCCTTTGCGCCTCTTGCCCCTTTTACTCCCCTATTCCCTTGCCCCCTTGCTCTTTCCTTACTTATGACATGTTGATTTTACTCATAATCCATATACACGTGAACGTCTAAAATCCATCCGAGGCATCCATAGATTGAGAAAAAGAAAAAGGGGAGAAAAGAATATAGCCAAACAAATATCTTAAGCTCGCATCGCATCACTTTTGCTTACACGGTGTCAACCAGGTCCTGTTCTTCAGCACGCACTGCTACAGCAGCGACAGCTACGACATCCAGTACGCGTGGGCCACGAAGCCGGACGGCACCTTCCAGCACCGGCGGACGCTTGCGCGGTCGGGGCTTAAGCAGCCGATGTACGGGCCGGGCCACATGGACATCGCGTCGGACGGGAAGACCATCGCGTTCCACGGCCGCGACAAGCCGGGGAACAAGAACACCAGGCGCCGCATGTATATCGGCAAGATCAAGTTCCCCGAGGGGGACTACAGCGAGGGTATTAAGGTGCTTAACTACCACGGCTAAAGTGGGGATGGATAAGAGTTTTGTATACGTACCTAATCTAACCATGTCCTCCTAGATAGGACTTGAGGTTAACGATCTTAGATACACCACATGTATCTTATATATATCTTATGCGTAAGTAATACTGTGTTTAAATGCGACATATTACTGCTTATATTCATTATATATTTAATTTCTTTATTTTAATGTTATAATTTATATGCTTTAAATTTATAATAAAAAAATATTTTTAATAAATTATTATATTAAATAATATAAAAATTAAATAAATATTATTTTAAAAATAAAATTTTTTATTATAATTTAAAATTTTTTTAATTATATATAAAAAATAATATATTAAATTATTTAATATATATAAAAAAAATTTATATAATTAATTTTATTATAATATTTTTAATATAAAAAATATTTTTTTTTATATTTTTTATTATTTTTAATAACTTTTTTAAAAAATATTTAATATAATTTAATTATATATAATATTTTAAATTTTATAAATAATAATAATAAAAGTAATTATTAATAAAAATTAAATATATTAATAAACTTTTATAATTAAATAATTTTCTTATAAAATTAATTATAATAAAAATTAAATTTTTTATAATTAAATATTATTATTAATATAAATATTATAATTTTATTAATTTTATGAATTTTATATTTTTAATTTTATATTTATATAATTTTATTAATTTTTTTTAATTTTTTTATAAATTAAATTAATTAAATAACATTTTTTTAAAAAATGTTATTTATAAAAACTTTTTTAACGGTAATTAAAATAATTAATTAATTTTAACTTTTATTATTTTTTTTTAAATTATTAATTATAAAAAATTAAAAAAAAAGGTTTTATAATTAAATAATTAAACATAATTATTTAATAAATTTATAATAATATTTATAATAAATTAATAATGTAATTGAATATTTAATTTTATTTTTATATTTAAATTTAATATTTTAAATTTTTTTTATTTAATTTATTTTTTTGTTTAATTTATTTTTTTATTAAATTTTTTTAATATTAATATATAATTTTTATAAATTAAAAAAATACAAGTTAATAATAATATAATAAATAATAATAATATTTAATAATTTATTTCATTTATATAAAAATATTAATAAAATTTAATAAATAATTAAAAAACTTTAATTTTTACATATAAATTATAATAAATATATTTAATATTTTCTTATTATTTAAAAAGATTTATTAATATATTAATATTATTAATTTTTTTAATAAATGTAAAATTAAAAATTTATAATATATAATTATTAATAAATTATAAATTAAAATTAATAATTAAAATTTGTTTTTAAAATATATATTAATTTTATTAAATTATTATATTATTTTTTAATTAATATTTTTTAAAAATTAAATATTTTAAATAATATAATTAATAATGCTTTTAAAAACGTTAACTTTAATAATAAAATAAAAATAAATATTATTATAAATTTTAATTTATAATTTTAATTTTAATTTATTTTAAAATATTTTTTATATAAGTTAATAAAAGTAAAATAACTTTAAATTTTATTATAAAATAATAAAAATAATAATATATTAATAATTAATATATATAATATAATAAAATTAATTATATTATAAAAGATTATATTTTTTTATTTTTTTATTTAAATTAAAATGTTAATTAAAATTATATAAAGAAAATTAATAATTATTATAAAAATAATTTAAATAATAAAGAAATTAATTAAAAATATAAAAAAATATAAAGTTTAATTTATAATATTTATATAATACGCTTTTAATTTTTTTAATTTCTTTTAATTAAAATTTTAATAATATTAATAATAATATTAATAATTTTAAATTTTTTAAAAAAATAATTATAATAAATATAAATTTATTATTTATAATTATATAATTTATATATTTATAATTTAATTATCAAAATCTTTTATAATTTCTTTATTATTTTTAAATTTTTTTTAATGTAATTATTATTAAATTTTATTATAAACTTTTATAATTAAATAACTTTTTTATAAAATTAATTATAATGTTTATTTTATTTTATATAAAATAATAAAAAATTAATATAATTTAAAAAAAATTAATATTAATAAATTTATTAATAAATGTTTATTAATTTATATATTTTATATTAATATATATTATATATTAATAATTATAAATAATTAATATTTAAAATTATTAATAAATTAAATATTAAATAGCTTTTAATTTTAATTAATATTAATTATTTTAATATTTTTAATTAAATAATTAAAAAATAATAAATAATTATAATTATATTTATTTATAATATTATATTTAAAAGAAATTAAAAAATTATATTAAAATAATTTATTCCAATAAAAATTAAATTTATTTATATTTTTAAAATAAATAATCTTTATTTTAATAATTTAATTTAATAATAATAAATAATTTTTAAAATTTAATAAAAAACCTTTTAATTTAAATTAATTTATTATATTATAATAAATAAATATATTATTTAATTAAAATATTAATATATAATTTAATTAATAATATTATTAATTTTAATAATATTTTAAAAAAATAATTAATTATTAATAAAAAGAATTATTAAAAATTATTTATAATAATATTTATATTTATTATAATGTTAATTAATTAAAAGTTTTTTATTTATAAAAATCTATTATATAATATTAAAATTAATTTAAATTTAATGAAATAATTTAATTAAAAAAATTAAATATATTTTATATTAATAATATTAATTATTATTAATATAAATATAAAATTGTTACGAACTAATAGACCGAGAAGCTATTCCGTAATAAAAAGCGGGGTTTTATGCCGTTAAAACCGGAAAAACTTTCGGAATACGTAAAGGAAAGTATGGATTTAATGGATTAAGTGGATTTTATAAGATTTAATACCAAATCTAACAAAATTAACCAAATTAACCCGATTTTAAAATAATAATAACTTTAAAAACAATAAAAAATCTATAAGATATTTAAAATATCATATATTTAATCATTTATTTACATTTTTTTAACTATTAATTTAAATCTTATATTTAACTTATATAAAAAAAAAAAACTTTAAGCTTTTTTATAAACACTTTTAATATTTAATTAATATTTAACTTATATTATTACTATTTACTTAAAAATTAAACCTTTAATTATTATATTTTAATAAACTTAAATATAAGTTTGTTACATTTTAATAACTTTTTAATTAATAGTATTACTAATTAAATATAACATAAACATTAATCTTAATAATAATATCCTTTTACTTATTTAAATTAATTATAATTCGTTTATTTTAAAATATTTATTAAATAAACCTTTTAAAAATTAACTTTTAATAAAAACTAACTAAATAAAATAATATAATAAACCTAATATATTACCTTTTAATTATATATTAAAACTTATTAATAATATAACTTTAATAAAAACCAAATCCCAAATAAAATCATTTAAAAAAAAAGTAAAAAAAACTACCGAAATTATTAATAAAAGGAAAAGAAAAGCTTTAATTAAAAAAAATTAAATAAACCTTTTAAGAAAAAGGTTTCAAAAAGTATATAAAGTTTATTAAACACTTAAAAACAAAATAAACACCTTAAAAAAAATTAACTAAACTTAAAGTTAAAAAAGAAAATAATAATAATAATAATAAAGATTTTAACTTACATTTAATATAATAAAACCTTATAGTTCTATTATTATTTAATAAAAGATTTAAGCCTTTTTTACCATTAAAATATAATAATACTACGAATTAATAATAAATGTAAAAAGGGAATAGCCCGAAATGCTTAAAAGCGGGGTTTAAAAGATATAAGGAATTGGATAAATTTCGGAAAGTATTATTAATATAAATGGATTTATTAGATTTGTTAAATTTGTTGGATTTATTAAATTAATTAAATTTACTAAATTAACCAGATTTACAAAGTACTATATAAAATATAAAAAAATAAAAAAGCTTATAAAATATTTAAACCGTTATATATTTAATTATTTATTTACATTTTTTTAATTATTAATTTAAGTTTTATATTTAATTTATATAAGGAAAAAAATTTTAAGCCTTTTTAATAAATACTTTTAATATTTAATTAATATTTAACTTATATTATTACTATTTATTTAAAATTAAAACCTTAATTATTATATTTTAATAACTTTTTAATTAATATTATTATTGGTTAAATATGGTATAAGCATTAATTTTAATAATATCCTTTTACTTATATAAATTATTTATAATTTATTTATTTTAAAATATTTATTAAATAAATTTCTTAAAACTTAACTTTTAATAAAATCTAATTAAATAAAATATTGTAATAAATTTAATATATTACCTTTTAATTATATTTTAAAATTAATAAATAATATAATTTTAATGGAAATTAAGTTTTAAATAAAATTATTTAAATTTAAAGAAAAGGTAAAAAAAACCATTAAAATTACTAATAAAGGAAAAGGAAAAGTAATTAAGGACAAAAGTAATAATAAAAACAATATAAAATAATTAAAAACAGATATAAAAAAAGTATATAAAGCTTATAAAGTGCTCGAAAATAAAATAACAACTTTATAAAATAAGCTTTTTGCAGTTAAGAAAAAAAAGAATAATAATAAACTTAACTTATATGTTACGAACCAACATTCGTCAGAAAACGTACTAGTCCAGGCAACGGGAGCGGGGATGTCCCAGGGGAACGGATAAACCCCGGTTACGGACTAGACCTCGTACGATTTGATTGATTTAACTGATTTGATTGATTTGATCAAATCAACCAAATCACCCAAATCAACCACATCACGATACCCTCAAAGGAAGTAGGAGAAGAATAGACAATCGGACTATAAAAGAACCACCATGTATCTAAACACTCATTTACATTTCCTTAGCTATCAATCTAAGTCTTATATCTAACCCATATGAGGGGAAGGACTCCAAGCCTTCCTGACGAACACTTTCAACGTTTTATTAACACTTAACCCGTATCGCTACTGTTTACCTAAAATCAAGACCCCTGTTACTACACTCTAACGGACCTAAGTGTAAGTTCGTCACATTATATTTAATATAATAAAGTTTTATAGTTCTTTTATTATTAAATAAGGGATTTAAATCCTTTTTACTATTAAAATATAATAATATTACTTAATTATTTTACATTTTATTAATATATATACGAAAATATTATTTTAATATTTAATTTAAATGTTTTATTTATTTATTTAATTACAGATAATATATTATAAATAATTTTTATTTTACTTTTATTTTTACTATTAAGCTAATTTAAAATTTAAATATAAATAACTTATTTTTATTTAAAATAATATATTTTAATAATCCATATTTATTAACTATATATTTAAAAAATACATAAATTAAGTTTTTAATTATATTAAATTCTTTATAAAATATAAAATATCCGTATTTAATTAATTTATTAATTATTACTTATATATTATTATATAATATATTAATTATAAATTCTTTTAATAATAGTAACTTAATGATAAAATTTTATATAATAATTTTTTAAACTTTGTCCGGAATTTTTATAAGTTACGTAAGCCCATATAGCTTATATTTAATTACTTTTATTTTATTGCAAGTATTACAATTATTAATTACCTTTTTAATTATTTTTAATAATTTAAGGAAGTTATAATTTCTTATAATTTATTATATAATTTAAAAGATTTTTTAATATTTATGTAATAAATACTTATAATATTTTTTAACGAATTTATGTTATAAGGTTTTAAATACGTATATTTTTTTTAAATAAGTGATTATATTATTTCTTATTTTAATTTTTAAAGGTAATTTTTTATCGGGTATAATTGTTTTAATGCATGTTATTCATGTATTATTTTTTTCCGTAATATATAATATAAATAAAACAAATGTTCCTTATTTATTTAACATAAATATTACCTTTTCTTTTATTATATCTTTTATACTAATACCATTAAGTTTATTAAATACATTTACTTATATATTTACTTTTTTTATAATATAAATTATTTTAAAATTAAAATTATTAAAATATTTTACCCATTTTTAAACTTTAAATTTTAATTTTTAAATAATTATTAACATTTTAAAGTTATTATAATTAAAAAAAACTGTAACTAGTTTTTTTATTTCATTAAACTAATATTTCTATTTTTTAAATGCTATTACAATAATAAGTAATTCCTTATCGTAAGTTTAATATTTTATTTAAGCTTTTTTAAAAGTTTTAAATAAATATACTATTAAGTATTATATTTTATTATTTTTAAATTATTTTAAAATCACGCTTATAATTATATTAAATTTATTAATATAAATTTATTTTAGCTAATTTAGTTTAAATAATCTTATTATTAAATTATTAATAATAACTTCTTATATTTTTTTAAAAGCCTTATTTATTTTTACCATCCATTAAAAAACTCCTTTTTTTCCTTATATAGTAACTATAATAAAATCTATAATTTTACTACTCGCACGACGGTTTTCCCGGGGGGAAATACGTGCTGTCATCGAACTCCCCGACTGGGACAACGCACGGAGTTCCAAGTAAAGGAATATTGGCTTTGAATGATGCTTATAGAAAGGTTTTTAGGGGGAGGAGGGTCCCTGTTCATAAAAGGATAGTAGTTAAAGAAAATTAGAAAAATAAGCGGGTTTAATTAACATAAAGCCTTATCATAATCCAATAACAGTAGATGTAATTTTTCGATAGTATAATTAATATTGTTTAACGTTAGTGGTTCGGAAGCACCCGGGCATTTGAAGAGGATTTGAAGCGTTAGCAGTGATCAGTTATATATCTACTATTACTTAATACGCTTACCCCTTTTATATGCATAACAGCAATAAGTTCGCCAGATATCAATTGATTGTGCAATCTACTTAAGCCTCTATATAGGACTCGTGGAGATTATATTAATGGGACGATAATCTTGTACCATTTCCGGCGCGCAATAGCCTAACTTGCCTATCAATACCTCGTATATCCATATCAGGTAGCTTGGATTATATATGATGAGCAAAAATAATAAGCAAAGTAAATTGTTAAGTAGCCCTATCGGAAGTTATACTACGGATTGGGGTCTAATATAATACGTCTAACCGTGTTCTAAGTGGGGAATATTTTAACGCTAGGAAATATACATCCAATGAAACATTTCTTCCTCCATAACTTACATACAAAATTTAAGAAACAGTGATCTGAATTCGTTATAGAATAAATTCGTTATATACCGTATTCGTTATGGCCAGGTTTTAGTACAGATGCATGCACCATATATGCACCCAATCAAGTGACAACAACCCTTCGTAAACTCTTGTCGCCTTGCGACTCAAGTAATACTCGCTGAAATGACCCAGCTAAGGACGTTAGCAACATATAAACATGCATCCCCCCTCGAAAAACCTGGCCTTCTTTCTTAGCTTCTACTGTTGCTAAAACACGCCTCAGTTGTGTCTCAGTCATATATCTGGAAGGAACTCTTCAGCTTTATTTCCCCCAGGGTGGTACTCATTCGCAGCCAACATGGGTAATATAAAGTCCAGGCTCGTATTAGAGTTTACTTCAGATGGAGAGTTGGACATCGATGCCCTAGCCAAAAAACGCCTCGCCATCTCCCAGCAGGAAAGCTCTCGCGAGAGACGGGCTCGTATCGAATGCCTCCCAACCTTGATTGACGGAGGGCCATCTGCAGCAGTTGCTTTCTGGTACCCGTCAGACCATCCATTCGATTACGGCGAGGCATCCATAGGCTTAAACCGTAGGGAGGTTATTTCGGATACTTACGTTCAGAACGATGGGCCATGGAGTGGTGCGTAACCCCGTATCATGTTTCTTAGTATTGCCTAGCATTAACAAGGTCGCTCAGGGATCGTGAGAGTAGAAGCGCTATTTCTGGGGCGCACGGGAAAATGGTGGCGAACGACTGGGTCCGCGGTCATCTTTGACGATTACCATGTCATGACTGTCGGTCACAATGTCTGGTCTCGGGAAGGCGGGCTCGCCTTATTCGTTAGTATCCATCGGGACAGGCGTGCGGATCCCGAACACTTAGACACGCGCTATGTCGATGCCGGGGCCGTTCACTACCAGTGGGCCAAGGCATGCTCGGAGGCGAAAGAGTCTAAGTTCATGGGAAAGGCGGCGTGGGAAAACGATTTCGCCATTCTTCGCGTCTCGAAGCCTTTCCATGAGGGTTGCCGACGAATGGAGTACGGGAAGACACCACTTGGTGATACTAATGTCGGGATATACGGTTTCCCTCGCGACATGTCTATCGACAATAAGGTATGGCAGGCTAGCCTTTGCTTTAGCCGAAGCACAGTCACATATGCGCCTACTACTAGCACTATGCTCGACCACGATGGAGACACAGCAGGTGGTATGTACAAACGATCCTAGCAAGGGGAGATACTCGCCCCCCACCCCACTTTATATATATTTTAGGGGGAGGGGCAAGGTTTCTTATAACCCTGTGCTCTCTTCACTTTCCAGACGATTGCTTACATTTTCAACTCTTCATAGGTAACTCCGGTGGTCCTGTTGTCGATAATGCGTCCGGAAAAGTGATCGCCTTGCATCGAGGATATGACAAGGTGAAACTTCATAGAAGGGCTGAGGTGGATCTGGCTGAGATTAATAAAGCGGTCGCCCTTCTAGTTAAGGGTAACGATCCCGAAAAGTTCAGCCAGGCTATTGACGTTTTGACCGGGGAAGAATCAGTAGAATACCTCCGCGTCAGAAAGGGACCCAGGTTCTCAATTGGAGAGTGTACCGCGGCTCTCGTTTTTGATTGCGACTGAACATGCAGGCCGAGGAGGCACCGGACTGACTTTGTATTTGTGTTGTTTGCTTTGGAATGATAGGGTAAGGCCAGGAGTGATAGGATATAGATATTAGAGGATAGGATTTCAAGCCTAAGGAAACGGCTAGATAAGTTAGCGATGATATTATGAAGGGCATCTGAGGTATTTCACTAGACTTCACTATAATAATATTATAATTAGGTCAGTAGCAGCTTACTATGAGGTAGGGACCTGAGATTTGTATGTGTGGGCAACTGATAGGCAGGTGGTAGGTAACCCCACCATTTCTGTCGGAGTGTTGCTATTTCAGTAGTAGTCATTTTCAGCACCGTTGTCCTCACCGCCTGCCCAAAAGGTCTTGCTACTAGAGATTCCCCCACCTATTTTTGATTTATTTGCACCACCACGTCAACCATTATATCGTATTAAATCAAACGATCTAGTATATGAGAATTATATTGTTGGTTCAAATTTAATTAGAGCTTTTTAATAATATAAATTTCAATTAGACGTATATGGTATTTCAACATTTATCTAAGTGCGAAAGTAGGTTAGGTATCTCGTATAGGTGGTGGATGGCCCGCTTCAGCGGCTGCGCACCCATTTAATTGAATATATCTTGAATAGCTTTTGAAATCTTGCATGCATCTAATTAAGATTTATATCATTAAAAAGCTCTAATTGAGGGAAAACTAACAATATCATTCTTATATGTTAGATTGTTGGATTTGATATGATATAATGGTTGACGTGGTGGTGCAAATAAATCGAAAATAGGTGGGGGATTCTCTAAACTTTCTGCCAGTTTTTTTAAAGGCGGTAAGAAAATAAGTGCTGAAAATGACTACTACTGAAATAGCAACACTCTTCTGTAAGTAAACCGTCCGTAATGCCTCAAATCCTTACACAATACAACACACTTTTGATGCGCGTCCAATTCCACATTATGATCATTAAAAGTGATCGGCAACGAAGCGCCTAGCAGCAGGGTTATCAGAGATCTGCTTTTCGCATTCGCCAATCTGAAAAATCCCCACAATTTTCGTCGTCTTAGACAATGAAACGCGCATGCGCTGACATACCGTACGAAAACAGGCTTGTCCAAAATGCGTGGATATGGTGTTGCATTAGGTAGGTATGGACGCCATAACAATCGCATATGCAAAATATGATGACATCAAACCAGAAGAGTATATAATTCTTTCGCAATCTACCAATATCCCCATGTCAGGTACCCAGTACCCAATCAGCCCAGAACCATATTCTATCATATCACTTTTTGAGCCCGCGCTCCCATTTTCCCCATTCTATATACCTTCGTCCTATTCATCCCACTTAACAAAGCGAATTCGTTATTCCTTGTTGCCTTGCAACGCTTGCTCAACCTTAGCGATAAAAGGCTGCATCCCAGATTCCAACACAGAACTCATCGCCCTTGATGACCGAAGAGTCTTCCGTTGAATTCTCCTCGGTGAAATCATCAATGAACTGCATGAATCTATGCGGATCATTACCATGGACCTGAAGAAGGACTGCCTTGTTGATTAGAGGAGTGGTTTGAGTCTTTTTGGCGAAACCTCGATGCAACCCAAAGGCAGTTCCAGAGGAAATATCGACGACGGGGCCACCCGAACTGCCTGCAGAAGTTTCAAAGGGTCAGTCATAAGCTTGAAAAGTACGAGAAACGGCAAAGCGTCACTAGTATCTCCTATTTGAGGTACCATTTGTACGTACCATATTCAGTGTCTCCCTTGTGATCGAGTAGACCGCTGACATTAGGTGCGTATTTGACTTGATGACTCGTGCTGTAGCGGAGACGGGGCCCGCCCCTAGGGAAGCCATATATACTGACATCGGTCGGATGAGTCGGCGGCTCCTGGTATGCCATCGGCTGTACTCCCCTGTGGAAGGGTTCCGAAACGTGAAGAATAGCAAAATCATTCTTCCTTGTAGATTCACTCGTATCTCCGGGATTTCTAGCCCACTGGTAATGGACAGCACCAGCATCCACGCAGCGCATATTTTCCTGGCTAGGATCAGCGCGTATATCTCGAATAACTGTGATAGACGATGCAAGTCCAAAATTGCTATCCCAGATAGCATGTGCGACTGTCATTATATAGTAATCATTAATGGCGACTCCTGTTGACTTCAATACTTTGCGGCGAACGCCAGGCGCCTCAAAAGTCGCTACCACCATCATGACACCTAGATGATGTCAGTGATAGGGAGGGGTGGATAGGAGCCTAAAACACTCACCACTGACGGAGCCACCGTCCTGAACAGTATCCTCTGGACAGTCCGCCATCGGGTTCTCCTCCAAGATGGCCTCGTTACCAGAAGATGTACGCCGAAAAACAACTGCCTCTGGCATACACCTATCGATCAGGGCTCGACGGCATCGGAACTGAGCTCGTATTTCGCGAAGACGCATATTGCGAGCTAGTTTATTGCGAGCTTTGGTCTTGCGAGCTATGATCTTGCGAGCTATAGTCTTGCGAGCTTCCATCTTCTCAGTCAACTGTTTCATAACTGTAGGTCGATACTTACGAGCTCGATTTTTGAGAGTCGAATCCTTGGGGACTCCATTCTCATGATTGCTATTGCACGAGACGCCATAGAGACGAGTGCTATCCAATGTGTCTGTATTTGTCGCATTGTCATCTAGGGAAACATCCAGTACGCGTTCGGTTAGCTGGGTCCCCATGGTTTTGAATCGCCGCCTTGTCGGTAATAATGAAGCCTTACGAGTCACTATTAGGTGACCTGTATGTCTAGATGTATGTCTAGATGAAATGGATGGGGAAGAATCTGGTTGACAAGTTCCTCTGCCAGGACATGTTAAGCACCCTGGGTTCGATCTCACTTCTATACTGTTTTAGTGCCATGATTTATGATTAAGTACCAAAGTACTCTTGACGGGTTATGTGGTTAATCCTCATGCTTGGGGCATTTCTTGGACGCTGTTTCGGCGATGACCTTCATACTCATGCAGAGGTTTACACAGTTCCGTTGAGAAAAACCTCCGTGAGTTTTAAATTTACATACTAACCCCTCCTGCCCTTTATTTACACCCAATCAAAATCCCCATTCTCCACAAAAGGCTTCGTTTCTCATCTTACACAGCTTAACGCACCAATCAATTAATTTTTAATGTTAGTAATGCTATTATATTTAAGTAGTAAAAGGGTTTAAATCCTTTATCGGATAATAGTGACTTTTAAGTGGCTCAAGTACCGGGGAATGGTAAGTTTTTCTTTATTATTCTTTTTCCGTTTTAATTTAGTTAATTTATTTTAAAAGATTGTTATTTTGTTTTTAAGTTTTTAATAAATTTAATATATTTAATTTATATTTTTTTTAATATAATTATATTATTATCGTTATTTTAAGCATTTTTTTTTATTAATAATTTTAATAATATTTTTTACTTTTTTTTTAAGTTTAAATGATTTTATTTAAAATTTGGTTTTTATAAATGTTATATTATTTATTAATTTTAAAATGTAATTAAAAAGTAATAAATTTAATTTATTAATATAATATTTTATTTAATTAATTTCTTTTAAAAGTTAAGTTTTAAAAGATTTATTTAATAAATATTTTAAAAGTAATTAATTATATATAATTTATAAAAGCGAAAAAATATTATTAAAGTTAATATTTATATTATATTTAATTAGTAATATGTTATAAATTAACAAGTAATAAAATTATACTTAATATAAAAATAAAAATGTTAATTAATAATAATTTAACTAAATTTCGGATAAATAAATTTTATAGATTTTATAGATTTTATGGATTTTATGGATTTTAATAAAATTTATAAAATCTTTAAAAACTATAAAAATTACAAAATCTTAACGAAATAATATGTAAATAAAAAAGCTTATAAAATATTTAAAATTATTATATATTTAATTATTCATTTATATTTTTTTAATTATTAATTTAAGTTTTATATTTAACCTATATAAAGGGAAAGATTTTAAGCTTTTTTAATAAACATTTTAACATTATTAACATTTAATCCGTATTATTTATTATTTACTTAAAATTAAAACCTTAATGTTACGAACTAATAGCACGGGAACCATATTTAGTATAAAAGCAGGGGTTTTAAAACGTACAATTAGGAACGGATAAACCTCGGATAACCTAATGGAGGGAAATAATCTTAATAATCTTAATGATTTTAATATAATGTCTAAAGTTATTAAAATTACACCCTTAAAGTAAAAAATATAAAAAATCTACAAGATATTTAAACTATTATATATTTAATTATTTATTTACATTTCCTTAACTATTAATTTAAATCTTATATTTAACCCATATAAAGGAAAAGATTTTAAACTTTTTTAATAAACATTTTAACATTTATTAATATTTAATTTATATCGTTTATTATTTACTTAAAATTAAAACTTTAATTATTATATTTTAACGGATTTAAATATAAATTTATTACATTTTAATAGCTTTTTAATTAATATTATTATTAATTAAATATAACATAAGTATTAACTTTAATAATAATATCTTTTTACTTATATAAATTATTTATAATTTATTTATTTTAAAATATTCTTTAAATAAATTTCTTAAAAATTAATTATTAATTAAAATTAATTAAATAAATAAACATAACGAACCTAATATATTACCTCTTAATTATGTCTTAAAATTAATTAATAATATAATTTTAATAAAAACCAAATTTTAAATAAAAACATTTAAACTTAAAAATAAAATAAAAGAAACTATTAAATTTACTAATAAAAGAAAAGAAAAAGTTTTAAAAAAGGAAAACGAAATAACTACCTTAAGAAAAAAACTCCAAAGAGCATATGAGGCCCACTTAACATTAAAAAATAAAATAACTGCTTTAAAGAAAAAATTAATTAAACTTAAGCTTAAACATGATAATAACGATGATAAAGAACTTGACCCGCGCCCGGTACAATAAGATGCTACAGTCCCGCTACCATACTAAAGATTAGCAATTAACGGACAACTAATTAAATATAATAAAAAATAAATTAAACGAGAAATCATAAATTTCCCAATCCGAATTTAATAAAAAGAATAGTTAATCTCCTTTAATATTATTAACACCCAGTATAACATAGTTTTAAAAAAACCTTAATTAAAAGTTAATAACCCGAAAATAAATTAGCAGAAAAATACGATTAAGTAACTATCTTTAAAACTAAGTACAAAAGGTTATAAACTTAAGTATCGGAAAGAAACTAACTTAAACGAACTTAATATAGTAATAAACAAACACATATTCGCAGCTTTTAAAAAAACCTATAAAATAATACTTTTATACATATTATAATTTACAAAATTAATTAAATAAATAAAATAATAAAAAACTATAAAAAGAAAAATTAAAATAATATATAATAAACTTATTAACATACTTAAAAAATACTAAAGAAAATACTTAAAATTATTTGTAAAAAAACTAAATATAAATATAAAAATATTAAATTATAAACCTTACAATTATAAAATTAAATTAAAAAAAACAACTACTTAAATTTAATAAAATATACTTATTAAATATAAATAAATAAAAAGTATTAATAAAAATCATCAAATAAAAACTCGAAAAAAAATATATACGAAAATTAAACTTACTAATAAATAATCCAATCTTTTTAATACTTAAAAAAAATAAAAATAAAACACTAAAATTTAATAACAATAAAAATATAATATACTAAAATATATATAATTATTAATATTTTAATTTTATTATTAAATAAAATAATTACTCTTTATTTAATATTAATAATTTAATAAAAATAATAAAAAATATAAAATGGTTTATAATATTAAACTTTAAAAAAACCTTTTACTTAATTTAAATAATTAAAGGAAATAAATAAAAAATAATAATATAAACCCCTTTTAATTATTATAAATACTTAATTATATTATTTAGATTTACAAATACGCTAATAACATTTTAAAAAATAATTAAAATTATATTACAAAAATTTTTAAAAAAAAACAGTTTTTATTTACTTAAACAATATCTTAATTTTTTCCAAAACCTTTAACTAATATAAAAAATACATAAACAAAATATTAAAAACCTTAAACGAGGTTAAATTACTAATAAACTTAAAAAAAAGTAAGTTTTATATATAAAAAATTAATTGCTTAAAATATATTATTACATTTAAGTAAATTAAAATATAAAATTTAAAAATAATAATAATATAAAAATAGCTAATACTAAATAATATTATTATTATATAATAATTCTATAGTTTTATTAATTATAATAAATAATTAATAAAAGATTTTAATAAAATTATAAACTTTATTATAATTACTATATAAAGAAAAGAAAAAGCCTTTTAATAAACTAAAAAAGCAAATTGCATTTTTAAAAAAATATAAAAAATTATTATAAACAATTTAATAATATAATTATTTAAGCTAAACCAATTAAAACAAATTTATATAAACAAATTTAATATAATTATAAGCGTAATATTAAAATAATTTAAAAATAATAAAGTATAGCACTTAATAGCATATTTATTTAAGATTTTTAAAGGATTTTAAATATAATACTAAACTTATAATAAAAAACTACTTATTATTATAATAGCATTTAAAAAATGGAAACATTAATTTAACGGAACGAAAGAACCTGTTATAGTACTTTCCGATCATAATAACCTCAAAACGTTAATAACTATTTAAAAGTTAAAATCTAAAGTTCAAAAATAAGTAAAATATTTTAACAATTTCAACTTTAAAATAATTTATATTGTAAAAAAAGTAAATACACAAATAAATGCACTTAATAAACCTAATAGTATTAACATAAAAAATATAAAAAAAAAAGTAATACTTATATTAAACAAGTAAAAAACACTTATTTTATTAACATTATATCTTACAAAAAGAAATAACATATAAATAACATATATTAAAATAACCATATTTACAGAAAAATTACCCGCAAAAATTAAAACAAAAAATAACATAATTACTTACTTAAAAAAAATATATGTACTTAAAACCCTATAACATAAATTTGTTAAAAAATACTATAAGCACTTATTACATAAATACCAAAAAGATTTTCGAATTATACAATAAATTACAAAAAACTATAATTTCTTTAAACTATTAAAAATAATCAAAAAAATAATTAATAACTATAACACATATAATAAAATAAAAATAATTAAACATAAATTATATAAACTTACATAATTAATAAAAATTCCGAATAAAATATAAAAAACTATAACATAAGATTTTATTACTAAATTACCACCGTTAAAAAAACCTATAATTAACATATTATATAATAACATATAAATAATAATTAATAAACTAACCAAATATAAACATTTTATACCATATAAAAAATCTAATACAATTAAAGACCTAATTTACACCTTTTTTAAATATATAATTAATAAATATAAATTACTAAAACGCATTATCTCAAATAAAAATACGCTATTTACATCTAAATTCTAAACTAACTTAATAATAAAAATAAGTATAAAATAAAAACTATTCACAATATATTATTTACAATTAAACAAATAAACAAAATAATTAAATTAAATATTAAAACAATATCTTTATATATATATTAACAAAATATAAAATAATTAAGTAAAATTATTACTTTAAATAAAAATTGCATATAATAGCTTTATAAATAAAAATATAAAAATATTCTTATTTAAAATAAATATCGGTTACAATTTTATTATTATAAAATTAATTAATATAAAAAAATATTTATACTTAAAGCAAAAGCTATAGCAAAATAAATCATTACTACGTAAAGATATTTAATAAATAAACTTAAGTTCTTATAAATAAAAATAAAGAAATATAATAATTAATATAAAATTAAAAGACTAATTTTCAAAAAGGGAAATAAGGTTTACTTATTATAATAAAATATTAAAATTAAAAAACTAAATGAGAAATTATAATTATAAAAAGTTTAAACCTTTTAAAATTGAAAA